AACGAGAGTCTTTTTTAATACTTGGAAGAGAAACTGGGATAAACCAGTTTTTTCTAAATCAATCTTTTGTTTCCCCATGAAAATATTTCTTAAACCCTTACTGCTGGATGCCACTATTCCTTACTAATGTGACAAAACAATTTTTAGAAATATTTTGGTTTTCATATAGCATTTTTCTTATCCCTGGTTCTGGATGACAGTCTTTGTGCTCTCTTGGCCAGGACAAGTACGTATGTCAGGTCTGAAAGCAGAAGGCTTTTGCAGACGCTTTCCTTTCTGTCTTTTGTTCCCATGAAGTCTGAGCTTCCAGAATCTGTTGTACAGGAGGAGGGAAGAGGCAAGAGTTGAAAGGCAACAAAAGTTGGCCAGTACCATGAGCAGCAGAGATTCCCAGAGCTTCACTCTGTGGCCCTTCTATCCACCTCTTCTCCCTCCCCACACCCATGAAGTCTCCTGACTCACCTCTTTGGAACCTCTGTTTCCATGGAGTAGAATTTGAAAATCACTGCTCTAGATCAATCATTCCTCAGATCTTCTGAGTTGGGGAGCAGAGGGGAATGGTGGAGCAGAGGTTGAGGAACTTCGGATACAGAGTACCATGTTCCCCTTTTGCATGCATAGGGGATCGTATTAATCCATTTCTGTCACTTATAAAATTAATACCCGAAAGTGGGTAATTTCTAAAGAAGCAATATTTATTGCTTACAGGTCAGAGGCTGGGAAGCCCAAAGTCCAGGCAACACTTATAGGGAGGACCTTCTTTGGTGGTGACTTCAGCAACACAGAATATCACATTGCAAGAAAGGCAGAAGCAAGAGAGAGACTAACCTCCTCACTGGCTCTTCTTTTAAAACCCTCAGAACCATGCCATGACCACTATTAAACCATCAAACAGATGAACACATTTACTATGGCTAGGTCCTCACAAGCTAATCACCTCTTCAAAGCCCCATCTTTCAATTGTCATAATAGTATTTCCCACCCTCAACAGTGACAGTGGGGATTAAGTTTCAATGGGTTTGGGGGGACATTCAATCCACAGCAGGGATGAAGGAAATAATAGGGTTACAGGCGACGGTAGCCTGGAAGTATGGAAGAATACTTATACTGCTCATCAAAACTTGAGAGCTGAGTAGTTGAATTAAGTATTGGCAGGGAATGGAGCATGATTAGTTTCATTTCTGAAATGGTAAATTTGAGGTTATAGCACAGCATCCTAAGCAAGGTGGCCCATAAGCATGAAGATATGGGAATGTCACACAGATATAAAGGTCAGGGTTATAGATAAGAGATTCCAGCAATTGTTGAAGAAGTGAGCTCAGAGATAAAAGAACAGAGGGCTAAGAACAGAGCCTTCATGATGTCCTGCCACAAAGGTTGAAAACCAGTGGCTTACCTCCTAAAATTAGCCCACAGGCATGCTTTACTTAGCTCACTTTTCTTGTTGTTGTTTTGCAGCTGACTGATACAGGGATTGAACCCTGGACCTTGGTGTTATCAGCATTTTAAAAATAATTTTTAATGTAATGGCCAATTTAATTTGAAATTTGGGAGTTTTAATGAAATCTGGATTATGCCTTTTCTGGAAAAGAGGAAGACTTGACAGTGTTGGGCCCATATTCTCCCATGGTGGGAACTGAGTAGCCACAGCCATCTTCAGATGGGACTGCCTCTGAGCAGTCAGACACAGCCCTTTCTAGTCAACTTCATCCACTTAATGGCAGCAAGAAGTGACAAAAATTGTCTCTTTGATCAAATCTAGCTAGCCAGGTTCCTCTGAGCCCTTTTGTTACAGGGCACACTCAGCTTCTGGCCGAGGCTCCCCCAAATTGATACCAAACTCACAAGTCCGGCTGCCTGTCCCCAGACTGTAAAAAAAAAATTAAACAAACAAAAGTCAAATGTTGGTGAAAATGGAAGTGAGCTTTTATTCAGGAATACCAGTGACCTGAGGAGAGACGTTAGGCTGACCCATCTCTCCAGTAAACCTGAGGGAGAATGGCCAGGCTAAAGCCACCTCAAAGACTCAGGTTGACTGAGGGGTTTTAAAGAGGGAGATGAGGGAATGGAAGGGGGGAAATGAAAAGCAGGAGGGAGGGGGCATGAGCAGCAAAGGCTTCATGCAAGGTCTCAGGTGCAAGGTCTCATCAAGACTCCTTCTGGTTTCTGCTCCCGTCCTTATCTCAGGATGTGGGTATTATGTGCAAGTCTGCAGCTCCTGGCTGGCTGAAAAACAACTTTACTTTTATGTAAATAATGTCATCTTGCCCCATAACCAAGGTTCAAAATATCAAATAACTATGGGAAAAGAGGGAACTCAGAGAAATGCATGCCAAGAAAAAAAACTGTTCTTTTAAAATCTTTTAGAGCTTATGCGGTTTTAGGTCCCAACATGGATTCAGTCTTGCTAACTCCAACACTTTCTTGACTAGGCCACAATTTTGGCCTAAAAAGACTTGAACAAAAACACTAACATAGTTTCTAAGAGCTTAATGCCAACCCCTTAGGATAACCCTAGTCTTCTTTAAAGTGCCTTCCTGAGAAAACTGAAGACTACCAAAAAAAATACTGTTTGTTTCAGCCAAGACCTGAAGATAGGGCCCCTGTCTCTCAACCTTTATGGGTAAGTGCCAGTTAACAAACCCAGATGGGTTTCATGTAGAAAAATCCCCATTTCCCGCTTTTTGTAATTTTTTTACTTCCCTGGCTCTACTGAGCCCCAGCTCATCTTCCTCTGTATTCCCTCATTCTTCCTTTAAAATGTCCAATTACCTCTGCACAAATCAAAGTTGAGTTCAATTCACTCTGGACTCTTTTCCCTATGGCAATAGTGTATTACCAATTAAAATCTGTCCTTACCACTTTAGTGTCCAGTTTTATCTTTGACAGAAGGCTAATTAAACAGACACCAATGAAAGTGTTAGGGTTCTTTTTTTGTTTGTTTTAAAGATGAGGAGACCTTTTTTTCCTTCAAGAAAGCTGAGAAAAGGGAGAAATCAAAGATGTAAGAAGATGGTGACCATTGGTTAGATCCAGGTACTGGATGAAGTTGGGAAGAAATCAGAGTGTAAATGAAAAGTTAGTTGTTGAGAAGGAGAGAGCTGTCTTCTTCTGAAATTAGAGATAAGAATGAGAGGATATAGATATGATGAAGAAATCAGATAAAGAATAATAGGACATAAGGGGTGGGAAAGTAAAAACCTACCCTTCTTTCATTAGACTGAACTAACAGACACAGCTAAAGCCAGCTGCAAAGTGAACAGGAAAAAGTATTTCTTTCTTTCTTTTTTTTTTTTTTTTTGTCTTTCTGGCAACGGGATCGCAACCCTCGGTGTTGCACCCGCACCTCGCTCAGCCAGTGAGCAGCCAGTCTGTATGCGGGATCCGAACCCTCGGCGGGAGCACCGCCGCACTCCCAAGCAGCGCACTGTAGCAGTGTGCCACCCGCCGGCCCAGAAAAGGTATCTCTTTCAAGGACATGTTACAGCCATAAAATGTCACAAAAACCTTCCCCTTTAGTGACTACTAATTTGTTGCTCCCTGAGAAACTTTGTGCTCTAAAATCATTGACTATCAGAAGCTGCTGTTTGAAATTATAAAAGTAGGAATAAAACATCCCACTCTTGCCTGGAAGATCAAAAGACTTAGAGAAGGAGCCTTGATTTCCAAGCTAGGTGAAGAGCTCTGGAAAAAGGGGTCTCTGAAGACGACATTCCACATCTCTCTGAACTTGGTAGTATTCAAGGAAACAGGACCTGGGACCACTGTAGTCCAGGCCTGATGTTGATGCCTTTACCCACAACTCTGTTTTGTACATAGCCTCTCAAAACACTGTTTCATTTAAATTTTACCAAAACTCCACATTTCCCCCAAAGCCCTGTGATAACTCCATCTTTTCTTTTGTTTGGTGAAATGCTCCACGATTCCTGCGGTGTGAACTTCTTCATTGCAGTGGATCAGTAAACCTGAATCTGTTGAACTAATGCATTTGTTTCTGGAGGTATTAGGATGGTTGAGTGAGCACAGGAGGCATTGGAGATTTTCATAGTTCAGTCCTTCATTTTACACACAAAAACTGGGGCCAAGAGGAAGGGTCCCTAATTGTCTTTGCAGTTCTACCGCAGCACTTCAGAACCACTTCCACCTGAAGAACCTTTATGATATCCATCTTCTAAAAATAGGCGGCTAGACACGTTTTCCATGAACGTATCTAGGCCGTTTAAGACCAGGTCTGGGTTTGTCGTTTCCCCCCGTATTGAAACTGACGAGTTCCATCTGTTTATTATCCGGGACGTGGGACCTCCGACTCACTGAATGCGTGAGGGGCATCGGGTGAGCAGGGCTGGCATGCGAGGCACTGGGCAGAATGACAGCGACTGCGGTGTGCGGGGGGCGGAGGGGCTCATTTCCCACCGCAGCATACTGCTCCACCTTTCTTCGACAACTATTCCATTCCTCGGGGGAATTTTCCTTTTTCTTTCTGGCGGCCGGCCGGCGCGGGGATCCGAACCCTCGAACTTCGTTTTTCCGGCGCCGCCAACCAGAGCCATGTCCCACCCTTCATTCATATCTCCCTTTTGCTGCCAACGCGCTCTAAAAAGGTGGGCCGGGAATCATTTTTTCCCCAGAACAAAATGAAAGCAAACATTTCCTTATAGAAACATAGTATTTTATTTAAACAAACTACAACATTAAATGGTTATAACAAACCCCTTCTCCTCCAAAGAAAGCTAAGTGCGTCTGCCTAGCTCCGGGGAATCCTGCGGCGGCTCCGGATGGTGGCGGGGAGCCACCGCCCTGTATCCAAAGGCACTTCGGCGACTGAACGTCCAGTAAAAGTTGAACGCGCGACCCCCGGCGAGGAGTGGAGGCGGAGCCGGCGGCGCGGCCGGTGGAAGCCGGGCGCGGGCGCGGATTGGTCGCCGGGCCTTCCCGGGCCCAGAGCGCCTGCGCAGTCTTCCTCCCGCGCCACCCAGTCGCCGGTTTGCGGCCTCGGGAGTGATCGGGCGGCAGCCGGCAACCGGCGGGTGGACAGCAGAGCGTGCAGACGGGCCGGCCTGGCTTGCTGTTTACAAGGAGGAAGAAGGGGGCCACTTTCCCGGCTCCCAGAAGCTCTGCAGCCCCCGCAGCCTGCCCAGGCCGGCGAGGGAGAGGCCGAGGAGCCGCGGACCCTCCACCCGGTGCCGCCGCCGCCATGGCTGCCATGATGGATCGGAAGTGAGCCTCAGGCGACGGCTGCCGGCGTCGGCGCTCGAGTCCCCGCTCGGAAGCGCGGCGCGGGGGACTGCTGACTCTCGCGGCTCTCGAGACCCCAGACCCTCAGCCCCGGCCCGCTTCCTCCAAGACTGAGCGGCGGGGAGTGGCTCCCGGCCTCCGCCCCGGCTTCGAGGAAGATGGCGGACCCGGCCGAGTGCAACATCAAAGTGATGTGTCGCTTCAGACCTCTCAACGAGTCTGAGGTGAACCGCGGCGATAAGTACATCGCCAAGTTTCAGGGAGAAGACACGGTCATGATCGCGGTGAGTGACCCCCGCCCCCGCCCCCTGCCCTGCTCCTCCAGGCCTGGCTGGGCCGGGAGTTTAGGGAAGTGGCTGGGTGCAGGATTGAGAGGGACCGGTGGTGTCCCCAGCCCTTTCCGGCAGGGTTTGCTGGTTCAGATAACCCAAGGGAGGGAGAGGACGCAGCTCCACGGGCGTTCTTGCATCGCCTCCACCCTGGTCTTCGGCGCCGGGAGACGGGAGGCGCCCGGTCTCAGCCTGGGACACTCCCCCACCTGGGGCGCTGGAGGAACCGTCCGGGGATGAAGTTTAGTGCATATTTGCCTGTGTTTATGTGCGTGCATTCACTGTTGCCGATGCTGTTGGTGTTTTGGACTACTCCCACATGTACCATTCATAAAATATGTAACAACGTAAAGTTCACTTAGGAACGTTCAGTTATGAGATCAGCCCTACTGTACTATAAATAGTAAGGATACTCAGTTTTATGGAAACAGTTAACTAGGTGTTGAACCATATTGTTTCTCCTCGGGAGAAGGAAAAACTACCGGACTACGAATATATCTATACGTCAGATGTTTACCTACACGCCTTTTGAGTGATGAAAACAATTAGAAATGGCCAGTTGAGAACTGTAAAAAGAAATATTGTAGTGATTTTTCTTTTGGAATTGGAGTGTTTTAATTTTCTGGCTGATCTGGCCGATTCAGATTGGGTCAAATAATTGTTCAGAAAGATCCAGAATCTCACTCCTACTGGGTTTTATGGGGGTAACATTGTAGGAAAAGGTAACTTTTTCTGTGTATGTAAGACAGAAAATATAAAAGCAAGCTTATAAAAGAAGTAAAAATTGGCCAGTATTAAATTCATGCTTATACTTTTCAGATCTTCCTTGAAGAAAATTGATTTTCGTAATCCCAAGGATAGTGAGATATTGTGTCTTTGAAAAATATAACCAGAGTTAGCTGATCATTGTCAGGGAGACCAGAATGTGAGGATATTTTGAGTTGTGGTCTCTCCGGTATTGAAAGGTTTCTGAAAATAGCATTCCCAGTTCACGGAGATTAAAAATGGATAGTAAGATACTGTATACAGAACAGTGAACTGTGACTACAAATTAAATTCACATTTCTTGGTAATGCCATGTGTTAGAACTTTTTTCCTACATTGTTATCATGGTTACAAAATTTTATTATGCTAATTTTTCCTCTAATGGCATTCTATATTTATTTAGACTACTTAATTTGGAAATAGGGCAGAGAAATCACAGGATATGGGACATTGATGATGGAAAGCATTGACATCTAAGCCAGGACTAAAGTTCTTTAGTGGTGTTTTTTGTTTGTTTGTTTTTTGTCCTTTTTGAGACCGGCCCGCACCGCGCTCAGCCAGTGAGCGCTGTGAGCGCACCACCGGTCATCCCTATATAGGATCCGAACCCGCGGCGGGAGCGCTGCTGCGCTCCCAGCTCCGCACTCTCCCGAGTGCGCCATGGGCTTGGCCCAAGTTCTTTAGTGTTTTAATGTGAAGGTTTCCAAAGTTCACTTCTAGAAAATGAATGTATAGTTCCGTATCACTCTTGGTAGGCTTTTGGCAAACAAATCATTAGGTCACTGGCAACCTCCAACTATTTGTGTGTGAGGATTGCCATACTGATTCTTTGCTAAGTCTATAAGAAAAGCTCTTGCTGTACATGACTTCATAGCAAGGCAAAATTAAGCTCAGTAATGGGCTTGGCCCAAGTTCTTTAGTGTTTTAATGTGAAGGTTTCCAAAGTTCACTTCTAGAAAATGAATGTATAGTTCCGTATCACTCTTGGTAGGCTTTTGGCAAACAAATCATTAGGTCACTGGCAACCTCCAACTATTTGTGTGTGAGGATTGCCATACTGATTCTTTGCTAAGTCTATAAGAAAAGCTCTTGCTGTACATGACTTCATAGCAAGGCAAAATTAAGCTCAGTAATCCTTTTTCTTTAGGATGGTATATTTTACATGGAATCAGAAGAAGTTTGCAAGGCCTGGATTAGTTGTCAAACTTGAGGCCACTAGTTAAGAGTTTTTGTGATTATTTAGCTTCAGTACTGGTTGACACATCAACTGTGTTTTTCATTTTACAGTTGTATTAAGAATGTCTCATTTCTCCAGATCTTCTTGTGTTTATACAAATCTACAAGTATCACTAAGATATTTTTGTTGGAATGCTAAAATTTAGGATTCACAAAATGTATTAAGATTAGTTAGAAAGTAATCTTCTGATGCAGCCCAAATACAACATAAAATCTGAAGAAAGAGCTAAAAGAAAACACATAATTACCACAGTAAGCATACGTTTATTCTAGGTTGTTTCCTTTGGAAGAAGTTATTTATAAGTTCTGTTTCAAAATTTCTTTAGTAATATAAGTAAATGTAAATGGTAATATTGGAAGTAATGGATAGGTGATTGGTTTGTGAATCAGTAATGAACAGTTAACTTTTAGTTAGACTGGCAAGCATGTTAGTCTGGATATTTTTTTTAAAGTGTAAGCAAAAATATGTTATAACTGAGTGACATAGCTTTAAAAAATGTAAGGCAACATGTTTATATCATTATTTTCAGAAACTTATTTCTTGTATTTAGTAACTAATTACTCTGTCTCATTTTTGTTGAATGTCTTAAATAAATTTTGTTTTTTAAAAGGTTGTTTGGAAATTTATAAGGGCGGCTAGGAGAAGTGGAATAAGAAAATCTCTAGGTAAAGTTAGCTCAGTTTGGTTTATTCATTTTACTGGGTCCTGAACCTGATTCAAAATAAATAGTTTAGGAGGAAATTACTGCAATGCAGCATTTAAAATAAAATTATTATAAACATGATTTAAGAACATTTTTTACATGGTCTTCTAGTTAAATCAAAATTTAAAGAATAAGTATGTTAGTTTATGATGTTACTGAATTAAAAGCATAATCAATGCTTATGCAGAAAGTAATTTTTTTTTTTTTTTAAAAGATGACCGGTAAGGGGATCTCAACCCTTGGCTTGGTGCTGTCAGCACCACGCCCAGCCAGTGAGCAAACCGGCCATCCCTATATGGGATCCGAACCCGCGGCCTTGGTGCTATCAGCACTGCACTCTACCGAGTGAGCCACAGGCCGGCCCGACAGAAAGTAATTTTTAAGGATTCTGATTTTCTTCTAAGTTCTGTCTTCAATACTTTGTCCATACTTTTTTCCTGTTGCTCATGTAATCTGATTTTAATGTAATATGGCCCTATGGCAGGCAAGTCTTTTAATTTTATAGTGTTTCTCTTTTTTGCTGTGCAGCCTTTAGTACAGAATTATTTGTAATTAAGTGCTTTCTGAAGTGCTATAGATATCACATATTGAATAAAATAAACAAATTATTTTTAGGAAAACCTTTAAATGATACAAATATAATCTATTTAAATTAGGGAACTTGTTATCTAAACAGGGAGGACAAGGGAAACAACTTATGTCTTTTAAATGAGCTTGCTGAAAACACCAGAAAAGGAAATCAATAGAAATTATTTATATATCTGTATATGTATCATAAAAGTAGAACGTCCTCATTTGTATCATTAAATGTCTTTGCTAATAATTATTCCTTATATAGTGTATTGTAGAGGCTGCCAGAACCTAAAACAGGCTGTTGTAGTTCATTAAAATTAGAAGAGAATAAAACTAATTTGATCATCTTGCCCAGTTTCTTTCCTAAAGGAAGACACGGTTCCTCTTTTCAAGTGAATGATTTGGTGTTTGAACCTTCTCGATTACCTTAAGAGTGAAAATTGAAAGAGGAGAGGGAGTCATCATCACACCCTTTACAATTGTGGAATGTTAGCCCACAATCAGTGTCTAAGTAAATCTAATATGATACAGTCCCATCAGATCTGAAGAGATCACTATTCAGAATTCCAGAGAAAGGCATATCCCTGCCAGAAGGGTGTCTTTCATAACCAAATTTGGTGTTCAGCCTGTTCTGTGCAGACTCAAACAGGAATCCCTTAAGAAGGTATGATTGCAGTTAAATAAACTGCTATTTGGTTTGTTCCCTTGAAGCCTAAGTCAGATCAGAATGCATCTTGTGGCTTGGAGTTTGTAAAATTGAAACCTGAAACTTTGAGTATCTTTGAAAGTACATAGAATTAAAGGCTACATAACGTTCACTCCAAGGCTAAGAATCAGGTTTTTAAATTACCAATGTCCAGATATTGAGTTTTTCTCTGTTTATTTGAAAGGTAGAGATATGCCTTAATTAGAGACCATTAGAAATAATTTTTATGTCATCCCAGAGAACCAGGGGCAGTTAGTGGCTTTATGGCTAAATCTTTAATCAAAATATATGCCTTTCTTAATAAAATTATAATTTAGTCTTACAATCAAAACTGTTTTGTCAAACTTAATGCTGAGCACAAAAGTTAATTTTTTTATTAACAGTGGTATAACTTCTGAAAAGAAATTGCTCAATCTCAACTTAATTATTTTTATGTTTGTGTGTTACCTCTTAATCATTGCCCTTCTTATTATCTTAGTAAGGTGGTGGTGGTAGTTTGCATATTTCATATGAAGTGAAGAGTTTCATAAAGTACTTATGAGGCATGCTTTACTATTACCTACAATTTTTGGCATATCTCTTTGTAAACGGTTTAGGAGCACAATTTTTTTATTGATATAAAAATTGAGATATGACGTAACGCTCAGTAGTGTTATTTGTTCTTTCTATTCTTTAATAACTTTTTATTATTTGACATATTTTGGAGGGATGCATTTGTCCTTATACTTTTACCTGTTTTCTATTAACTTGTTTCTTGGAAACAAAATTAGGATTAATCATTGTTAATTTTTCCTTTCATGTCATTTTTTTACACACCTGTTATTAAATGTGTATTTGGGCTAAGTGCAATCTCTTCTTGACTTCTTTACCAGGTTATGAGTTCTTTAAGGCTAGAGACTGTCTCCATTTCAATTCAGTTACCATTATTTGGTCACCTATATTAGATCCTACTGTACAAGGGTACTTTAAAAAGTCTATGGAAGAGTAGAATTTAAAGATAATACAAATCTTTCCATTAACTTTTAAATGACCCTTCCTATAGCTTCTTAGCTTAGTGGGGACTCTCCCCAACCTTATCCTCTATTTGAACCCTACTGTCTGTACTAATTAAATATCATTTCTAAAATTGTATTATTCATCTACAATATCTGATATTTTGTAGTCACTAACTAAATGTTTGCTGGATAAATGAAGACAGAATATTACTTTTTTTTTTGGCGGCTGGCCTGTATGGGGGTGTGAACCTGTGACCTTGGTGTTATTAGCACCATGCTAACCAAGTGAACTAATCAATTGGCCAGCCAGAAAATTACTTTCTTTTTGCATAGAAAACTATTAGCATGGTTTGTCTCTGGGTGGTGATTATTATTTTGATTGTACTTGTACTTGTTTTCAGAATTGTTCACCTTGAATATATCTTGTATAATCAGTAAAATAATAGATTTTTTTTTTAGCCACACCTGTAGAATTGGATGTTAATGTCTTGATGGCATCTTAGCCAAATAATAACTTTCATGTATAGACACTGATGCTCATTTTAAATTGACAGCAAAGTGAGGTCATCTTAGTATATCCAACAGGAATGCTTTCAGTTGCAGAGGGAAAACAAACAGCTAATAGTAGCTTAATTAAATAAGAGGTTATTTTTCTCACATAACAAAAAGCCTGCAGAGATTCTTTTTCTCATATAACAAAACGCCTGCAGATAGGCCCTTACTGCTATTAGTTCAAGGACCCTGATTCTGTTACATTCTATCATCTTTCGCTGTTGACTTTTCATCATCATGGGTCTTTATGTTTGCAAGATGGATGCTGCAACTCCAGGCATTCATTGCATGAATGAGAAAGGGCAATTTAAGCTGACTGTTCCCCTTTATCAGGAAAAGAACACTCTCCTCAGAGACCACCCAGGAAACCACCACTTCATATTATCCAGAACTGGGTCATGTCACCGCTAGTTGCCAGGAGACTAGGCTAGCAGGCATTTGGCTCTCCAGCCTAACTGGTGAGATGTAGTAAGGGCAAGGGGAATTGAGAACGGCTTTAGATGGCCCTTTAGGAGTATCTGCTTCGTTGTTACTATTATTCCAAGCATTGGGGAGGGGGATTGTGGCGTATAGTTTCTAAAAAAGTAGGTCTTTTTCACCTAAGACCTAGGAAGTATTCTATAATATCAAGGGTTTCTTTTGGGATTGTGATTGTTTTCTGTTTTGTGTTTTAGGGCCTAGCTCCCTTCCTTTCCTTTAGAAGAAAGTAGAAAGCAGGAAAATACTTGCAAATACCCAGAACCCCCTTGTCTCTCTCTCTCTCATCTTCACATGCTTGCTCACTCTCCTGGATTATTGGATTGTTCCTGCCAGCATTTAACCTTGTTCAGGTCTTGCCTATCTTTAAAAAAAAGATCCCGCTAACACCAAAACAATGGTTCAGATCCCCTCACTGGCTGTCCGTCCAAAAGAAAAATTAAAATAAAAAAAAAATCTTTCTTAGACCCACAGCTAGATTTTCTGCTCTACTTGGTTACAACCCATCCTTTTTTCAACCCATTCCAATCTGACTTTTGTCATTGAATGCTTTTCAGTTTTGTCTTGACCTCACACCTATATTTGACATAATCACTTCCTCCTTGAAAATTCTTTCCTTGACTTTTGTGGACACTATCTTCGGATTTTTCATTCTATGTTTCTGACTCCTCCTCAGACTATATCAGTGGTTCTCCAAGAGCGGACCTTGGAGTCTCCAAGATCCTTTCAGGGAGGTCCACAAGGTCAAAACTCTTTTCAAAGGAAGACGTTATTTGTCTTTTTCACTGTTTGCATTTGTACAATGCAAACATTTGTACAGTGCAAACTCCTCTTACTTCAAACTCATCAACTTCCTTTGGTTTCTTGAATGCTGCAAGTTCCTTTCTGCCTTAGGATGTTAAAGCATCCTATTCCCAATGCCTAGATTACCTTCCCACACTAAACTCCCATTCCTCTTCATGACTAGTATCAAAGAGAGTGACAGTGGCTAAGCTCTACTTGTTCTTTAGTTCTTAAACATCCCATAGACTTAAACATCTCTTTTTGTTAAAAGATGACTGGTATGGGAATCTTAACACTTGACTTGGTGTTGTCAGCACCATGCTCTCCCATGTGAGCCACGGGCCGGCCCCTGAATATCTCTTCTCTAAGAGTGTTTCGCTGACATTCTTCTGTTCTCTCCTTAACTCAGGTTCTCCTCTTATGTGCTCTTATAGCACTTTCATAGCACTAAGTTACATGACTCAGAATTCTAGTCAATTAATTGTATAATTTCTGCTTTGGTCATCCTTTTAGCATAGCATCTCATATTTTGTAAGATATTTTTTTTTTTTTCTTTTTGTCTTTTTTCGTGTCCGGCAACGGATCGCAACCCTCAGTGTCGCGCCCGTACCGGACCGGGACCGGCAACGGGATAGCAACCTTTGGTGTTGCTCCCACACCTCGCTCAGCCAGTGAGCGGGAACCAGTCTGTATGTGGGATCCGAACCCTCGGCGGGAGTGCCACCGCGCTCCCAAGCGGCGCACTGTAGCAGTGCGCCACCAGGCCGGCCCTGTAAGATATTTGTTAAGTGAGAGAATGATTGCTGTAAATATTTGTTAAATGTAAGCTGTAGCAGTAAACTGAAAAGTTGAATGGAATAGCAGGAAGAGGCCTGAACTGAAGATCTGGGTTTGAATTTCAATTTAATTTTGTAATTAACAACTTTAGTACCTTTCAAGTTTCTAGTTTCCTTTTCTGCAAAATGATATTAGTATTGAAAATAGTCTCAAAACCTGCCAGAGTAGACATTGAAAAAAATGAATTCAGCAATATTTGAGTGGCTACTGTAGTAGTACTAATTATAATTACTGTGCTAGGCCCTGGGAATACAAGAAAAACTAAAACAGACATTTTTGTTTTCATGGAGTTTATTCTAGTGGATTTGTACATGGTGACCTCTAAGGTCCCTTGCACTCAAAAGATTCAATGACATGAAATGATGCATACTAGGTATACTATTTTGAAGGTTAAATATATAGTGGTATCTTTAAATGAACTTAGAAATATCCATTCACCCTTAATTTGTGTAGTTGAAATACTTTTGTTTTTGTTTTTCAGTCTAAGCCTTATGCCTTTGATCGGGTGTTCCAGTCAAGCACATCTCAAGAGCAAGTGTATAATGACTGTGCAAAGAAGATTGTTAAAGGTAAATATATTTAACTTGCCGAGTTGTTCCAGCAATAAGTAAAATTTTGTTGTTTCTTACTCGTTCTTTTTTTTTTCATTTTAATGCCCTTTCTAAGTTAATTGCAAAAGAAAATTGTTTAAATAATTAAAAGGTCAAATACAATTAGTAAATGTACTATTGCTCAAATTCTATGATCTAATTATATACAGTACATAGAGAAGGATGTTATAAAAATTATGTTACACACTTATTCTTGAAAGATACATTTCTATTAGATAATCGTAGGAGAGTTTCTTAAGTAGCAATTCTAGAAATAGAATAGCATGAGAATGAAAACAAAATGGCTATACAAGTTTTTAAAAAATCATTCTTTCATTCCATTGTTATTCTTTCCCCAGACTTACCCTGTAGTTAGCAGAGAAACTCTTGAGGAATTTAACAGGGTTGCCAAGGGTGAGAAAAGTGTGTACATTCCAGTGAATACTATTAACTTATACTATCTAAAACCATAGATAGATCTCTATAGCTGAGAGGATGCTAAATGATTTGGAGTTAGTTTTAGTTGTTACAGAAATTCCTTCTATCAAAGGGATCTTACAGTTAAATGGCAATTACTTTGTGAAATAATTTATTCCACTTTTTGACAGTTGTAGTTGTTAAAAAGTCTTTAAATTGAGGCAAAATCTGCCTTGTGTCATTCACCAGATTAGAGGAGTTGGGATTCACTATAAAAGTGAATAGGTTAGGATTAAGTAGAGCACAGATAGTTCATTCTAGTAACACGAGAAAAAGTCAAGTTTATGGATAGAAGCAAGTTTATAGATGTGAGGGGGAGAAATGTAGATGTTCTCTTTATATTCCATATTGTCTGTGATATAGGGAGCAAAATCATCACAGAGTGAGGAAGGGGGAGTAGGTTCTAGGAAAAGGCATGAAATGGATGGATTAGGGAAATGTGGCAGTATTGGTGGGCTATATTAAGGGACCACTTGAGCTTAACTGCTGAAAGAGTTGAATTTACCCATTTGGAGTTTTGCCTCGCAAGTACAAAAGAGGGAGAAAATGGCAAGAAAATTGATATAGTCAAGGGAGTGATTGTAATGTTGGCAAGATGGGTCAGTTACAGGAAGGAGGACATGAGGGAAGGTAAAGGACAGTGGAAAAAGGTGGTAAGATGAGTGGGTTATTGATTTCAGTGGGGTCAAAGGTTTGTTGGAATCAGAGTACTAGAAGGAGTAATGGAAGATGGACATACACAGCCCACAACTCATGATGGTTCAACTTAAGATTTCTCAACTTTATGGTGGTGTGAAAGCGATACACATTCAGTAGAAACTGTACTTAAAGTACCCACACAACCGTTCTGTTTCTCACTTTCAGTACAGTGTTCTGTAAGTTACATGAGATATTCAACACTTTTTTATAAAGGAGGCTTTATATTAAATGATTGCATAGTAGGCTAATGTAAGTGTTCTGAGCATATTTAAGTTAGGCTAGGCTAAGCTGCGATGTTTGGTAGGTTAGGTGTATTAAATGCATTTCTGACTTAAGATATTTTCAACTTACAATGAGTTTATTGGGATGTAACCCTGTCGTAAGTCAAGGAGCATCTGTACTTAAAATTGAGATTATGGAGGTAGGTAGTTAGCAATGAAAAGGTCAGGGTGTGACCATGGAGTTGGCATCTAAAATGGTAAAGGACAAAATCATGGAGAAAATTAGGTCAAGGATCTGAGAGGCCAGAGTGTTTTAGTGGGATCATCTAACTATATGGACATTGAAACCACCGAGGATTACAGCAGGAATGGTATTGGTGAGAGACAGTGAACGAGATTCTGAAATCTTCATAAAAATGGGGAGGGGGGTATTAACTTGTGATTCTATGAAAAAATGCTCAACATCACTCAGCATCCAGGAAATGCAAATCAAAACTACACTAAGATACCATCTCACCCCAGTTAGGATGGCTAAAATCCAAAAGACTCTGAACGATAAATGCTGGCTAGGTTGCGGAGAAAAAGGAACTCTGATACATTGTTGGTGGGACTGCAAAATGGTGCAGCCTCTATGGAAAATGGTATGAAGGTTCCTCAAACAATTGCAGATAGATCTACCATATGACCCAGCTATCCCACTGCTGGGAATATACCCAGAGGAATGGAAATCATCAAGTCGAAGGTATACCTGTTCCCCAATGTTCATCGCAGCACTCTTTACAATAGCCAAGAGTTGGAACCAGCCCAAATGTCCATCATTAGATGAGTGGATATGAGAAATGTGGTATATCTACACAATGGAATACTACTCAGCTATAAAAACGAATGAAATACTGCCATTTGCAACAACATGGATGGACCTTGAGAGAATTATATTAAGTGAAACAAGTCAGGCACAGAAAGAGAAATACCACATGTTCTCACTTATTGGTGGGAGCTAAAAATAAATAAATAAATTCACACACACGCACACAAAAAAAAACTGGGGGGGGGGGAAGAACACATAACAACTACAGTTCCTTGAAGTTGATACGACAAGCAAACAGAAAGGACATTGTTGGGTGGGAGGGGGGAGAGGGAGGAGGGAGGGAGGTTTCGGTAATGGGCCACAATAATCACCCACATTGTATATTGACAAAATAAAATTTAAAATAAATAAATATTTTTTTTTAGAAACTTGTGATTCTGTAAATGATAGCAGCAGAGAGGAACAGGCAGTGTCATATTTGGTAAGCATCAGTAGATTTCCAAATGAAAATCCATACATCATAGAACACAATTATATTACATTCTTTGGTTGTGACATCTTTCATCAGAAGATTGCATTAGCTTTTTAAATAAACATTTACTGGTTCATGAACTCATGAGCCAGTTAAGTGTACAAATCTTTTTCACATCTGTTGCAGCCAGCTTCAAGCTGCATTCCATACTTGCACATTCTGGAGTGCAAGCCTTTAAAGTGCAGATTCTGTTGTGTTCATTTTAGCTCTTGATTATATTTTGTGTTTTGTTTTTATACTTGTCTTACTAGAGATCTATTCAGTTAGCCATCAGCATATTTGATAAGTCTATTATGGTGTCAAGGACGTCAAAATTTGAGAAATATAGTGTTCTTTAAAATGCTTAATGGGCCGTGGTCCTTAGCCTATTCTTCTAAAAGTAGGGTTGTTGGCAGTTAATTAAATCACACTGTTTGGGTATTCAACTAACTTCGGAGCCTCTTACTTGTACAGCTGTCTGATTCTTAGTTTGTCAGCATACCCACAAGAATATGATGAAAAACTTGGATCTTCTTAAGAAATCATGGTGCATTACTCTGGTATTTCCCCATTTTACTAGTTTTTTTTTGTTGTTGTTGTTGTTTGGGTTTTTTTGGTGGCTGGCTGGTATGGGGATTGGATCTTGTGACCATGGTGTTACAAGGCTGCACTCTAACTGAGCTACCTGGCCAGCCCATCCCACTCTACCAGTTGAATGACCCTATCCCTATAGGAAATGAGACTACTTCAGCCATAGTTTTTCTTTAGTGAAATTTTGGTATACTTGTCTGTAGTTCTCGTAACCTTATCATTTCCTTTTTGAAAATGCATGTATCATTTGCAAGTTACTCATTCTGTTACCTATGTTCTCTTTGGCTTTTAAAACTTACATCCTTGTCAATCTGAATCCAACAGCTACCAAAAAAAACTTACCTACAGTAGCTGTAAGATTTTATCCCTGGAATGTAATTCTCTTTTTAACTGGATACTTGAGATCTTTTAAACCGTTCTTTTGCTGTCATCCTACGCACATCAGCCTTAAAGTCTCTCTCAACAGTGTTTATTCAGTTCTGTTTTGGGGGTCATGTTTGTGGGAGAGGTAATAAAATAAGAATACCTCTGTCTTAATTTCATCAGTGGATATTTTATCATCTTTCCTTGGCAGTGCAGGTTCATTCAGTTTTCTTTTTCTGAGTATGGCTTTAAAAGCTGTTTTGTTTTTGTTAGACTTACTTATCCTGGCTTTTACCTTCCTCATAGTATTCTAGTGATTTTTTTTTTTATATCTTTTGTATATCCTTGGTTATATAGTCTTACTAATAGGCTCATACTTACCTTTCTCAGAACTCTTGGAAATCTATTGCTTTGATGTCTATGGTACATGTATCTTACTACTTTCTTTCTGTTTTATTACTGTTTGCAATTCTAAGGTGAAATAATTAATTCCCTGAAATTTCTCTCCTTTTCTCAAAATTTTAGTGCCTTCTCCTTAACCGGCATGTTCCTGCTTTACTGTTTGGAACTGAGTTCATGATAATAATTCCCTTCTTTGCAATATGGTTAAGGGAGTTAACTTTGGAATTAGCCTGAGATTGAAGGTCTAGGCTCTGCCACTTTCTAGCTGTGTGACTTTCAGCAAATTACCTAACTTTTGTAAGTCACCATTGCCTCTTCTGCAAAATAGATGGTACTGTGAGGATTAAGCACACAACAGATATACTAATTGTTTCCTCTGTCTTCTGAGAGAAGAAATTATTTTCTTAATTTAATCAACCAGTGTTGTACTTGGGATAAACTCAAAGTTTAGGACATTTTCACTCTACAAAATAAGACTACCAGCAAGTGTAAGAGTAGGTTTCTTTCACTATCTCTTTCCTCTTCTGTGCTACCTTTGTAATTTATATTAGGACAGTATTACCCAGCTATAACTTTTTCCTTTTATCTTCACCCAGATGCTCTCTATCATTTTGGAGGAGCCTGTATGTAGTAGCTAGTGAGGCGTGTCCTGGACGTGGATGTGAATGTGACAGAGTTGCCAGTAAACACATGGGTTTAGGGAGAGAGATGATTCAGGGGTAGATGGTGGGTGCCTGTTGAGTGTAAGGACAGGAAAGTAATGAAATACATGGCAGGTTGGACTTGGGCAATCATTAGTAAACAAATTAGGTGGGAGGCCATGGTTAGAAATTGTTCATATCCAAGGATCAGCAAATTGATGGGCCAGCTGGAATTTCTTCTGAGATGTGGATTTGATGAGCAAACTGCCAGGAAAGACCTGAAAGCAGATAGTACTTTCTGAGTCCCTGACAGTCCATTGAAGTTGCATTGATTCATAAATTTCTGTGCAGGTATATAATAACCTGATTATGTATAGTGCTATTACATTTCCCTTTTCATAAATTCATTAGATAGAATTGTTTCTTTTGAACAAGGTTTACCCATTTGTATGCTCTTTTGAATTCTGAATATGAGTGGTTTCTGTAAGTTTATTTGTCCTGTATTAAGTGGTTGTCATTTATTCAATGCCTACTATATGCCAGGCATCGTACCAAGCCTTCATAGATTTCCTGATTTCCTACCATGGCTTCCTGACCAGAATCTGTGTGCCACTGCCACTGTATCCATCTTTGATTTTTCCTGATGTAGCTTGTTCTATATTTATTTTAGCTCCTGTGCTCCTTGAGAATATGGTACAGGGCTGGCTGGTTAGCTCAGTTGGTCAGAGCGTGGTTCTGATAATACCAAGGTCCAGAGTTCGATCCCTGTACCAGCCAGCCCTGACCAACTCCCCTGTCGTGTTCCCCCAACCCCCGCCAAATAAAAGAGAGAATATAGTACAGTGGTTAAAAGCATATCTCTGGAGCCAAGAGTGGGTTTGCATCCCAGCTCCATCTTACTAGCTGTAGAAATACAGGCAAATTATGTAACCTCTCTGTGCCTCAGTTTTCTCATCTGTAAAATGGGACTGATAATAATAGTACCTTCCATAGGCTTTTGTGATAATTAAATATATTAGTATATGAAAAGTGGTTAGTACCTGGCACATTGTAAACTCTCAAATGTTAGTAATGATGGCTTTATATTGACGATTTGTAATTCTCAGTCTTCTAAGCAGACATTTTGCTGATGTGGAAGCTGAGGATCAAAGATACTAAGTGACTTTTAGAAGGTGAGGTGCTATTGTCTCACTAGCTAAATATATTTTTCCTATTTTATAAAGTATGAAAGAAGAAATACTTGTCCATAGTTGTCCACCTCTGTTTCTTGCAAGACTGACAAAAGTATATTTAAAAAGGGGAAGGAGGCTTTAGAAAGATGTTGTGTTATTAGTGATGGTAATAATTATTCAACTGAGTGCCAGGCACTGTGCTAGAAGTTAAACATAGCCCTCACTTCAAGGAGTTTATAGGCTCGTGAGGAAGCAAACAAGTATTGAAAATTATAATACTCAGTGATAAAAATTATGAGTAGATACAGATACTATAAGAACACGCAGAATGAGACTTTTACCCAGATTTATTTGGGATGGGTTGTGGAGCTGGGTTAGAGGAAGGAGTAAAGCCTGAGCTAGTCTTAAAGGATGCACAAAGAGTAGAAAGAAGAGGGGGTGCTTTCCAAGCAGAGAGATGCCACCTCGGCTAAGGCATGCTCATATGTGAAGAGTGTATTGCATATGTGGGGGTCAGCATACATTACGGTATGACTGTGAGGTTGAACCATATAATATTGTTAGATTTGACTATTTTCACCAACAAAAGCGGGAGTGTGAGGAGAAGGATGGTGGAGATGGAGCTGAAAAAGTAAACAGGAACCAGGTCAAAAAGTGACTAATTTTATCTGATTGTAATCAGATAAATGTGTTCTCTCTAGGATTTTCAAGGAGATCTGTATTATTCAAATTTTTTTAAAGATAGACACTTAAGATATCTGCATTTCATTGTGTATAAGTTTTACCTCAGAGGAAAAATATAAAATATTAAATTCTAGTTAATAATATGTGCATGGTGAAGTAATTAGGTTGAAGTGTACTGATATGTGCATTGAACTTTGAAATGCATTTTAAAAAGGATGGATAAATGAATATAGGGAAAGGTAGATACATAATTAAAACAAACAGTAAATGATAAAATGTTCGTGGTAGAATCTTGGTGGTTATCGGAGTGGTCACTGTAAAATTCATTTAACTTTTCTGTACATTTAAATTTTTTTGTGATAACATGTTGGGGATGAAATCTCTATAGAAAGCAAGGTCAGGAATAGATTTCAAGATAGGGGAAAAGTGATTATGTTCCTAACTGATAAAAATGTTATCACCGTAGTGTTACATAGCATATCCAAAAATCACCTACTCAGTCCCCTATACACAGAGCAGTGCCTAGATCACAGTGGATGTTCAGTTAATATTTCAGTGTCATCATCTAAAACTTTCACAGTTTACTTGAAGTCCCAAATGTGTTTATTATCCATGCATCGGTTATCCTAGGAGCCCTCGTATACTGTATAGTTTCACATAGCACAAATGTACTATATCCTATAGACATTTAGTTAAAATATTTACTGAGTACCTCTTGTGGTAGTAGGTCATGAATGTACTTTTTAAAGAGCTAACAAAAATTTGAATTTTGTGCCTGTGTTTTGTATGATTGATTAAAAGATCTTAAGCTGTAGGGGTATGACAGTCATGTTAAGAATGATTATATATATAAAGGAAGTGATTGCAGTGGGTCTAGTGCTTTTTTCCCAGATGATTTCTTCTTCAGTCCTATCTATTGAAGTGTGATTCATGAAATGCATTTGCTTCCCTTCATAAAAATGAAAAGATTTTGAAAGAAAGTTTTAACCTTGGTGTGTTTTTTGTTTGTTTGGTTTGTTTCGTGGCTGGCCGGTACAGGGATCTGAACCCTTGACCTTGGTGTTATAACGCTGTGCTCTAACCAACTGAGCTAACCGGCCAGCCCTTGAAGGAAAGTTTTAAATGTTTGGAGTTTCTTTTTTTTTTTTTTTTTTTGTCCTTTTTGAGCCCTGCCGCACCGCGCTCAGCCAGTGAGCGCTGTGAGCGCACCGGTCATCCCTATATAGAATCCGAACCCGCGGGGGGGCGGGGGGGGGGTGCTGCTGCGCTCCCTGCACCACGGGCTCGGCCCTGGAGTTTCTTAAAATCTTAAAACCTTCCCAGCGAAGTAACTAGTGATGCCTTCTTTTTCTCTTTAATAAGTGTTTCTGTAGGAAATCTATTATCTAATTAGTTGTGGAAAGGTAGATACATAATTAAAACAAACAGTAAAGATTATGTTCCTAACTGATAAAAATGTTATCACCGTAGTGTTACATAGCATATCCAAAAATCACCTACTCAGGGAAAGGTAGATACATAATTAAAACAAACAGTAAAAGCGCTGTGAGCGCACCGGTCATCCCTATATAGAATCCGAACCCGCGGGGGGGCGGGGGGGGGGTGCTGCTGCGCTCCCTGCACCACGGGCTCGGCCCTGGAGTTTCTTAAAATCTTAAAACCTTCCCAGCGAAGTAAGTAGTGATGCCTTCTTTTTCTCTTTAATAAGTGTTTCTGTAGGAAATCTATTATCTAATTAGTTGTGCCCAATGTTGGGACTTTTTTCTTTTCCTTCTTCAAACACGTACTCAATAAAAACAAGGATTGGCTTGTTTACCGCTTTAGTTTCCACTACTATCATCTGCTGTTTCCAACAGAGGCTTCTCTTTTTACTTTGACGTGTTCTAGAATAGAATGTAATTTCATAGTGCCTTTCTTGTCACCTAGAACAAACCACAAACAAAATCCCCCAAAATAAAATAAAGTCACCTTCTTGCTCACTCACATTTCCTTTTTTCCCCTTCAACTTAATAAAGGAAGATACTTAAATGTTAATGGCAGATCTTGGGGTACACCAAGGGCTAGAAGATATGTTAAAAATTTTTTTCATAGGACCCCCCCACCCCCCCTCCACCTGGTTTGGCGATCTGAACCCTTGACCTTGGTCTGATCAGCACCATGCTCTCCCAAGGGATCTTACTAGCCAGCCCCATATGAACTTTCTGGTAATTGATTTTGAGGTGGAACTGAGCGTGTTATGTGTACTTTGTTAGTGGGATAAGGAGGAAGGTATGGGTTTGTGAGATTTGACCACTGATTCATTAAAAACTGATTCATATCTGTATGTAAATTGGCAGAGGTTTTTTTTCTTTTAGGTCACATAAAGCTTTGGAATACAGATGTAATGACATTTGAAATGTACACTGATATGAAATGATTGATTATAAGGAATGGAGTTTAAAATTTGATTCTTAATTGACCACAAAAAGTAATTGGGTCAAAGAGAAAAGTAATTGCTTAGCTGGATAATCACTAAGAAAATAACTATTAGTTATATTATTTCCTTTAATGTCTTTATAAGTCCTTTATGTACTAAACTTTGATTCTGATGGACTCTTTCATATTAGTGTAAAGAAAATCTGGATCTAACCATTTTTTCCACACATTTTATTATGCAGAATTGAGGATGCATGGGTTAGGAACAGGTTGTGCGTCTGAATTTTTTTAGGGTGCTTTATACATCACTAAGGATAAATGTGTGACATTTTTCTGTAACATTCTTAGGTAATTTCTTATGAATCTTAAGCAAAAAAATCCCTTGAAGTATAAAATCTCTTATTTTCTCATAGATGTTCTTGAGGGATATAATGGAACAATATTTGCATATGGACAAACATCCTCCGGGAAGACACACACAATGGAGGTAACATTTTGTAATCCGAACTTGGATATAGTTTGCAGTACAGACAGTACATGCATTCATTATTTGCGAAATTAGTTTACCATGCTTAAACATCTTTATTTGCTCTCTTTGTTGGTTTTTTTCATATGAATAATATACAAGTAACATCATTGTTGGAATCAGCAGAGTTTGAATAGTAAGAGATAACCTATATTTGAGATATAAAAATGTACAAGTATAGCTTTGTTTTAGCAGATAGCATGACCACAGAAATAATGAACATTTTAGAATTTAACAGGAATTTTCTGTCACCCTGTTACATGGGAAATTTTGAATGCTTTATGTGTTGTTGATACTGTTCAGAGTGATTAATTTTTTGCCTTCTCGCCTTGGTCCCTCTCCCCTTAAAATACCTGCCACTCTTCTCTGATAAGAATGTTGCCTCAGTTATCGGTGCTGCTATTAATAATAGATGTTGACATGCTCTAGTTTTGCTTCTAGAAAATAGCCTGTGATCTTCTGCCACTGCTACGGAGCTTTTATCATTTATCTGGGTACTATATAAAGTAAATGCTTATTTTAGTGTAATTAATATTACTCATTTTCGTAAAGTCATACAGAACAAGGACGTTCCTAGCATTTGTGTGAATTTGACTTGCAGTAGAAGAAACAGTGCGGATTTATATTAAAGGAAACTAAAACCTTTTCGAATGTATGTTCATTTTACAAGCATGGATAATCTAAATCTAGTGATTAAATAAAGAATTAAGATCAGTTGGTAACCCATGTGGTTAATATACAGTATTATGTGTAATAGTCGAATTGTTTTTTTTTTTTAGGTATTTATAGAGCCATTTCTATGAAAAATAACAGATACAATTCCTGTTCTCTACCAAGTGTAAATTATAAATTAAATGTTTTCCTTTTTAACTAATCTTTTAGTATTTGTCTAAGAAGCCTAATTTTGTTTTCGGTTTAGGGTAAACTTCATGATCCAGAAGGCATGGGAATTATTCCAAGAATAGTGCAAGATATTTTTAATTATATTTACTCCATGGATGAAAATTTGGAATTTCATATTAAGGTAAATTCCTTGAGGAAAGATTATATTTTATTTTACACCTAGAATAATTGTGTTCCAAAAAAATAGTAAATGCTAGTTTCTTAAAGTAATTTTTGAAATTATTTTTATGGGCAGGCATAGTTGAAAGATGATTAGGGTTAGTAAACCTGGGCTCTTGTTCATCCGCTGTTAGGTGACCTTTAATAAATTAGCTCAGTCTTTCTTGTCCTTAGTGCCTTCTCTGTAAAATAAAGGAGTTTATTTTACTATAAAGCTCAAAGGTTTCTACTAATCTAACTAGTCTGATTCATTTTAAGTGAAGGCATGTCACAGAAATTGCTTTTAATTTCGGTTATTTAGGCAATTTAGGTAATTTATGTCTTCCCATTAGAATGTGAGCTGTGGGATTTGTAGATAACTCTGTCCCCCTAGTCTAGGGAGTGCTTGGCACTCAGACCTTGATAAGTATTTAATAAGTGAGTAAGCTGTTTTATAATTTTAATTGTTGATCTCTTTTCCCCCTTTTTTTATTTGTTTTCCTTTTAGGTTTCATATTTTGAAATATATTTGGATAAGATAAGGGACTTATTAGACGGTAAGTTAAATTCTTTCTTTTTGATCATTTGTAAACAGCACCTATTACATATTCTTTTTTTTTTTAGTAGATGTGAGACCATTCATTTATTTTTTACTTTTATTTATATTTTTTTATCTTCATAAAACCATAAGTTCACCACTATACTATGTGAAACCATTTTTTAGTAACCTATATGAAATTCACTTAAATTATAGGAAATGGACATTTAGTAATTTTTCTTTAGCCAAAATATGGAATCAACCGAAGTGTCCATTAATTGATGATTGGATAAAGAAAATGTGGTATATATACACAACAGAATACTATACAGCCATAAAAAGAATAAAATCCTGTCATTTGTAGCACCGTGGATGAGCCCGGAGGACATTATGTTAAACAAAATGAGCCAGGCACAGAAAGATAAATGCTCCATGTACTCGTATGTGGAAACTAAAAAAAGTTGATCTCATAGAAGTGGAAAGTAGAATAGTAGTTAGTAAAGGGTGGGAAGGGTAGGTTGGGGGGCTATGGAGAGGTTGGTCAACAGATACAGGAATACAGCTGGAAAAGATGAATGTTTTAGTGTTCTGTAGCTCTATAGGGTGACTGTAGTTAACAACAATTTATTGTATAATTTCAAATAGCTGGAAGAGAGGAAGTTGAATGTTTCCAACACAACGAAATGACAAATGTTTAAGGTGATGGATATGCTACTTACTTTGATTTGATCACTCCACATTGTATACATGTATCCAGATATCACATTGTACCCCATATATATGTATGATATGTGTCAATTAAAAATAAAATTAAAAATTTTTCTTTAAATGGACATTTAAAAAGTTTTAGTTGAATACCTTTTTACACATAGAATAATTTATTTATTTGTTATTTATTTGTTTAAAGCACATATTGTAACTTTTTAAGTAGTATTGAGAGCATTGGAATGGGAGGTAGAGAACCTGTACTCTGAGTTCTAGTCTTCTATCAGCAGTCAGTTATATACCTTGTGCTTAGACAAATTATTGAACCACTCAGGCTTAATGTTCTTATTTACAGTATGTGGGTGATAGAGGTTGGAGTGGACCTAAAATTCTATTATTGCTGAATTGGTTTCTGTTTAAATCTCCTACTATGTTTACCAGGTCTTGCTTTAATAGTGATGCTTTCATACTTTTGAAAGATCACCTGTTGCTACTAGGCTGCTCAGGGAAGCCTGTCAATTGAATTAGTTATTTTACAGCCAGTATTAGAGTTTAGGAGAGTTTTGCTAATGTTATTTATTATTCTTTTTCAGTTTCAAAGACCAACCTTTCAGTTCATGAAGACAAAAATCGAGTTCCCTATGTAAAGGTACTTAATAAACTAATACAGAATGATTATTTAGAAAAGCCCTGTAAAAAATTTTTATTTTTTATTTTTATTGTATTTTTAATTTTTCCAAATGAATTTTATTTTTTAAAAATATAACAAGGAGGGCCGGCCTGGTGGCGCACTGGAGAGTGCGCCGCTTGGGAGCGCGGCGGCGCTCCCGCCGAGGGTTCAGATCCCATGTGGAGACCGGTTCCCGCTCACTGGCTGAGCGCGGTGCGGGTGCAACACTGAGGGTTGCGATCCCATTGCCGGTCCCCAGTACGGGCGCGACACCGAGGGTTGCGATCCCGTTACCAGTCAGTAAAAAAAGACAAAAAGGAAAAAAAAATATATATATATAACAAGGATACGTACATTTGTTCAGATAACAAATACATAAACTGAATAACAGATTGTAATAAATTTTTAAAAGGATATTGACATAGTTGAAAAAATTATTTCACAGGGGTGCACAGAGCGTTTTGTATGTAGTCCAGATGAAGTCATGGATACCATAGATGAAGGAAAATCCAACAGACATGTAGCAGTTACAAGTAAGTGGAGTATTTATTAACTTTGTTTAGGGCATAAAAGGGCCTTAAAATAATCATTATCCAATAGATTAATTTGAAGATTTTTCTTATGTAAAATAATGCTGTAGAGAAATTATTAGTAAAAGAAAGCCATGTTTGTTTATAATTGTGTAATTTCATTGCAGATATGAATGAACATAGCTCTAGGAGTCACAGTATATTTCTGATTAATGTAAAACAAGAGAACACACAAACAGAACAAAAGCTGAGTGGAAAACTTTATCTGGTTGATTTAGCTGGTAGCGAAAAGGTAAAGTTTTTATATATTCTGATAGCTATTTAAGCATTTTTATAACCTTTAACTTGAATTGGGAGTTAGGCAGTATTCATTGTTGCATCTTGAAAACTTATCAAACAGGATTTGGTAATCTGAGAATTTTAAACTGTTGATGCTAATGCTTTATTATTACATAAACTGAAAAATCAGTGTCAAATTACTGTTGTTTGGTCCAGTTCAACCAATAGGTGCTACCTTTGACTTAAGATGTGTCTTTTTATTGAGAACTTGTTCAGCATATGTTATTATACATTTTATTATGTATCCCTTTTCTAATTTTTTATATCTTTTTTTATCCATGTTGACAGTGGGCTCGCTATTAAAACTCCATTCTTTCTGATTTGGTTGCACTTATTTCTTTCCTTTGTATAATTATTTCATTATTACAGTCCTAGACAATCTGATTCCAGTTTATGTCACAATCCGAATAAGTTCGAATGTTTTGATGTGGACCTCTGTGACCGTTTTTGCTGTTCAGCTAATTTTGTTTCTTCTACTTAGAATGACATACCTATTCTCTTCTACTGAAAAGGCTTATACACGTCTCTCAAAGACTCTTAACTTACAAATTCTGAGAAGTCGTTTCTTTAGCCAACATTGCTAACTTAGTATGAAAGCCTATCTTTAACATAGATATGCAGACATTTTATATTATTTTTAAAAGGAGCAAGGTTGCTTATATGTGTTTAAATTCAGTTTTGGTTTTCTAATAGTTACAACATTAACAATATGCCTTAGCAAATTTTACCTCTTTTCTAATGTAGCAAAGGGGACTAACAAATTAATGAAGTATAAATATAAATCAGTTATTTTCAAAAGCACAAACTAAAAATTAAATTTGACATCTCTGATCACATTTTTGTCATGTAGCTTGCTTGACCAAGTTCTCAGAGAGTGTAGTACTCAAGAAATAGTGCTGGTTATTGATGACCTATCAACTTTTTAGAAAATTCAAAGGAAATCATCTTAAACTTGTAATTTTGTTTCAATCTTTTGAAATCTTATATATAGGTTAGTAAAACTGGAGCAGAAGGTGCTGTGCTGGATGAAGCTAAGAACATCAACAAGTCACTTTCGGCTCTTGGAAATGTCATTTCTGCTTTGGCTGAGGGTAGTGTGAGTATACATCCCTCTTGTCTTATGGGGACTTATTTAAATATAGATATATGCATGCATGAGTGTGTATGTTTTTGTGTGAGAGGGAGTTAGAGAAAGATTCACTGTGTTTGAATCAGTATGCCTAAATTAGTTGTCTTTTAGGAACATATTTTATAGTATTAGTGTATATCCTAGTTCCCATCTGAATATCAAGCAACTACAATAATTGAAGCAACTTTGTAATTTATTTAAAGTATTTATATAACAAATTTTATTATATAGAAAACCATTGGTCTTCTGTTCTTTGTTTTTGTATGTAGACGTATGTTCCATATCGAGATAGTAAAATGACAAGAATCCTTCAAGATTCATTAGGTGGTAACTGTAGAACCACTATTGTAATTTGCTGCTCTCCATCATCATACAATGAGTCTGAAACAAAATCTACGCTCCTATTTGGCCAAAGGTTTGTTGTTAAGAAAATACAAAGCCTAAATGTAGATGGGCCTTTTGTTTATTAAATCTAGGAAAATGTCAGGTAGCTATTATTCAAATCAGTGTATATATTGTTAGTGTGCTAGACACTTTTTAATTGAGACAGATAATGCAAGCTAGGTCCATTTTTTAGGCTGCATGGGTTTGAGTCGAGTTTTGGTACATATTAAAGTCAAATGAGGGCTGGCTAGTTAGCCCACTTGGTGTTGATAACATCAAGGTCAAGAGTTTAGATCCCTATACTGGCCAGCTCCAAAAAAAATAAATAAAATGAAGTGAAGTGAGAGGCTGTAATTCAGCATTAAAGAAAATAAGCATTTGAATCAGATAAAGTAAAAATCTGAAAATTATAATCCTGTTGACATACATGACAGGTTCAAATAATCTACATGAGGTGGTTAGTCTAGGAAAATCAAAATGATGACTTTATCTTTGACTTTCAACAGTAATTTCTTAAACTCAGCCTTGCAAATGAATTAGAAAAATATAAGCCCTTGTTTTTTATCTTCAGTGGGTTGTTGATTTTTTTTTTTAAACTATTCACAGATTTTGAGGCTGACTCAAATTTAGTTGGGTTGTAAATAAACACTACATTATAGCTTTTAGTATTTAGTCTAAGAGATAACTGGACAAGATATTAAATTACTTAGCCATATATACATATATTACATAGAGATATTAAAATAATTTTATTCACATTCTTTTTCCTCCAATTACGTCTCTTAGGGCTAAAACAATTAAGAATACAGTTTGTGTCAATGTAGAGTTAACTGCAGAACAGTGGAAAAAGAAGTATGAAAGAGAAAAAGAAAAAAATAAGACCCTACGGAACACCATTCAGTGGCTTGAAAATGAACTCAACCGATGGCGTAATGGTAATAACTTACGAATTTGTCATCTTAGGTTTGTTGAATACAGATAGATTCAGAGCTATTTTATAAATTGGGGATTTTGAAATGAAGGTAAGTGAGAATAACAAAGCGTATTTAGGAATCATCAAATAAAAATGAATACAATCTTTTATATTAAATATTGATCTTACAGAAATAATAAGTTACAGAGACCAGTTAGGAAGTCACAAGGTGGCAAGGTGACTAGGGTGGAAGCAATAAAATGACAAGATGTAGAAGAATGGAGGATGGTGAAAGGTAATTCCAACTATTCAAATCCCAGGGATTGAGCAGATAGGAAAGTTGGTAAGAGCTGCTAAAATTGAATAAGGCAGAAAGGACTCTGCAGTGATTGCCCCCTGCAGAAACATCAATTTGAACAACTATTCATGCACAAAAATACCTTCACAAGAGCTAAGGAAACAAGGTGAGAGATCACAATGACTGGCTGTAGCACAATGATAAGAAAAGAAGAGGGTAGGAAGAACAATTTTACATTTTCCGCATCACTCCTCCTTCAATCCCATGCAGCAAAGCTCATAGAGAGAGAGGTCATCTACTGGGGGAAGGGCGGAAATGAGTACAGAACTTTTGCCTTGGACCTCAACACTGGGCCTGCCACAGTACACACCAGTACTGGGCAGGCCCCCACCCAAGGCCTGTACCCGCAGTGTTTTCACACTCATCTTGGTGCCAGGTAGGACCCTGTAGCCCCAGGCTTCAGGCCTACAAGGTGTACTTGATCTCTGATTTCAGTGGCCCCAAGCTTTGGAACCCTGCCAGACAGCCTGCCCACAATCTCTGGATGGGCTCATTGTTGAAGGCTTTCCCATACAAAGCCAGTTTGCAAAGACTGGAATAAGTTCTTAGTTCTTCAGATTTGCAGACATCAAGGCATAGCCACAAGGATCAGTTAAAATCAGGGCAACATGACATGAGCAAAAGGAGGAAGTGCTAGTGACTGATCTGAAGGAAATGGAGGTGTACAAACAGACTGATAAAGAATTCAAGCTAATGGATCTAAGGAAGCTCAGCGAACTTGAAGAAAAAACAGAGAAACAGTTCAATGAAATGAGGAAAACAATGTGATCAGAACAATAAATTTAACAGATTTAAAATTTTATCCATTACTCCATAATTTAAAAAAATCAAGCAGAGATCCTGGAGCTGAAAAATTCAGTGGATGAAATGAAAAATGAAGTATAGAGCATCAGCAGCAGAATTGATCAAGCAGAATAAAGAATCTGAACTTGAAGACAGGTTATTTGAAAAGACACAGAGGAGAAAAACATGAAATTGAATAAAATTGAAATTAGTTTTAAACATGTAGATTTTTATTAACCATTCTATTGTCTTATTTTAGGGGAGACAGTGCCTATTGATGAACAGTTTGACAAAGAGAAAGCCAACTTGGAAGCTTTCACAGTGGATAAGGATATTACTATTACCAATGATAAACCAGCAGCCACAATTGGAGTTACTGGAAATTTTACTGATGCTGAAAGAAGAAAGTGTGAAGAAGAAATTGCTAAATTATACAAACAACTTGATGACAAGGTAGGTATTGTTTGTTTTAGATCTGTTTTGTTTTAGAATATTATTAGCAGATATTTTTATTTTCTAATTTTTCTAATTTCAGTATTATGAGTCCTTATGATCCATATACATACATCATCTTTTTTTTTTTTTTTTTTTTGTCTTTTTGTCTTTTTTCGTGACCGGCAACGGATCGCAACCCTCAGTGTCGCGCCCGTACCGGACCGGGACCGGCAACGGGATCGCAACCCTCCGTGTTGCCCCCGCTCCTCGCTCAGCCAGTGAGCGGCCGGTCAGTATGTGGGATCCAAACCCTCGGTGGGGGCGCCGCCGCACTTCCCAAGCGGCGCACTGTAGCAGTGCGCCACCGGGCCGGCCCCACATACATCATCTTTGATTTCTGTTTACCTTTTAAAAATCATTGTATTAGCAGAAACTATAAAATCACAGTTTCAGTTTTTGTGTGATAACTATGTATGTGGACATGTCTCTTCCAGCCCCCAACTCCTTTTTTTAAGCAAAAAGAACTTTCTAAAGAAAATTTGGCATTGGGTTATTGGAGAGCGTTAATAAAATGACCTTTTAGAACGGGGACCTCAGGACCCTAATAAAAAAGATGATGCAAGTAATTAAAGGGAACAGAATAAAGTGGAAATAGTATCTTCCTGCTTTGCTTATGTCAGTAATGTCAGTAGTGTGAAAAATAACAAATTCTGAACAAGTATAAGAGCGGTGCGGAGAATAGAAGAAAATTTTTCTAAGTTGGTATTTTTGTATTTTAAGCAGAGATAGCAGATTTAATAATAGCTTTAAATATCTTATTTTTTAGCCTTTAAATTATTGATGAATGGCTGTCATAAACATAAGCCTTTATTCTTGTTGCATGATAAATATAATTATTGATAATTGAAAGAAATTCCTGTTTCAATATTTCTTTTTTATTTATTTTTTTAAATTTATTATTTTTTACATTCTAAGATGTGGAACAATTGGGGGTGAAAGGGAAAGGGGAGGGGCATAGGGTGGGAGGAGAAAGAAGCGGGGGCATGGTCGAGGCCCATGGCACTCCCTTCATTCTGTCAGGGGAGCCCTTGATGCTTCCAGCAGTAGCTCTGTGTCGACACTGGGCTCGATGTGGATGTTGGTGGGGGCGGGGGGGTGTAGCTGAGGTCCCTGGCCCCCCCACTGCCCAGGCTCGGGAGCCCAGGGTACTTCTAATGGTGGCTTGGTGGTTGTTGCTGGGCTGGATGTGGATGTGGGGGGTGCAGGGTGTGGCTGAGGCCCTTGGCCCTCCTTCCATCCCAGCTTGGGAGCCTGGGGGATTTCTAGTCCTTCTAGCTTTTGTAGGTGTTCTTTGGTGGTGTTAGACCTTTACCATCTATGATCTATGGGTGTTTTGTATTTTCTTTCAGTTCTGTGGTGGATTATTAACTGCCCCCACCACTTAAACTCTGCACTGGAACTAATTTGTTGTCCTTTGCTTACTTCTGAAATGGGGGAATTTCCTGTGGGAACCAGCACTTGAGCCCTGTGGTTGAGCTAAATTGCTGCTTTGCTTCTTGTTCCCTGGGGAAGGCTTTTTGTGCAGCTCAGGTTTTAATTGTTGACCTTGTAAGCACTTCCAGGTCTTGCGAGGACCAATATACCTGGGTTTTGTGGAAACTGTCTAGGCCTGAGTCTTTTCAGCAAACTGCACCCCTTGCAGTTCTGTGCTCCTGACCAGTCCCCACTGTGTGGGCCTGTGCTGACTGGAGGACAGATCAGCTGTCCATGCTGTGCCCCAGTGTTCCCTCGGTGGGCCTGTCTCCCCCAGCCACCCCCAAACTCCAAACACTTCCTGTGGGACATGTTGTGTGCCATTCCCTTGCAATGACTCACCATCCTGTGAGAGGCTCCTTATATCAGTTGTCTATGGCCCCTTGTTCCTATGTTGGTCCACAGGAACCCTGTTAGTGGTCTTACTGGCCTGGGGAGCCATCAAGGCCCTCCTCTCTCCCCTGTAGCCTCCAAGCAACTTCATACGAAAGGCACACCAGTGGCATTTGCCAGCTCTTGCTCCGTGTGCTCACCAGGGCCAGCCTTGAAGTGGTCAGGGCTTGAAACGGTCAGAGTGGTTCTTTCCTTCTCTCATCATGACTTCTCCTGCCTTCATGAACTCAATTGATCTCTCCTCCTCTTCCCTTGCGCTTTAGTGGCTCCAGCTTGGCATTCATTGCTTTTAATAGTTGTAAGTTGGTTGATTGTGGGAGAGAGTGATGCTGGGGACCATCTATTCTGCCATCTTGATTCTAAAATCTCAAAATTTTCTTAAGAGATTAAGCTTTGTTGCACTTGGAGAAATGGTTTTGAAATATTTGGGGGGAAGTAATAATCTTACAATTTGTATTGGGAGACAGAACCAGGTTATGAGCTACTTTGTTAACTAGGTACTTTAAAAATTCTAGGATGAAGAAATTAACCAACAGAGCCAACTGGTAGAGAAACTGAAGACACAGATGTTGGATCAGGAAGAGGTGAGTTGAATACCTTTCATATTGCTTCCAGAAAAGCTTTATAGTTTATCGATGTCATTTAAACGTAAAAATGAAGGAATCTACAGAGCTCAGAATATACTAAAGTTTATATTTTTAATTTTTTTTAATATATTCATGCTGCATTGTGAATATCCTGCAAGACTGATACATCATAAAAATTGAAGCAAAAATTGACTTCCTCTTATGGCGTTTTTGTTTTTAAGTTTGAGTTCTCTCTAACCTGGAGGGGAGAGGAAACTTTTAAAAAATATTTGTTCCTTAGCATACATCTACATGGCTTTTAACTATCTTCTTTTTTACTTGCTTTGAAGTACAATGCCATTTATCACCTTATTCTCTCCTAAACATTTCTTATTGATCTGTGGGGAAGACAGTAGTGGGCTGGAGTAACCTCTGCCAGTGAAAAGTACACACAAACATGAGGGAAGAAATATATATTTATTTATTCACCTAAACATAAGATACAGGTCTAAAGAAAAAAAAATACTGGTTTTGAATTGTTTTTAATAATTGTCTAATTTTGAGTATGACTTGTTTTGTGGGAATGAAAATGTGACATGAATAAAATCATTTTTTATTCCTTCACCATGTCTACCCACATCCAGTCTGTTCGTATCTGCCGTCTTTACTTTCATCTTAGTTCTTTCACTTTTCCCTTGCCTTCTGTTACCTAGTTCGGACCCTCATTTCATCTTGAAAAACAGTCCTTCGTTTAAGGTTTTCTTGGTTTGGGGGAGGGAGGAAGAGAAGACATAGACTGTACAGCTTCAGTAAGAAAGAGATATCCATCATCAGTGAAGTTAATCCTGGTCAGATCATCTTTTTAAGTATTTCAACTATAGCATTGTTTCTCAAAGGGGCACTATTGACATTTAGGGTTGAATAATTCTTTATGTTGTTCTGTCCTGTGTATTATAGGACATTTACATCCCTGGCCCCTATTCCTAAATGCCATTAGCATTCTGCCCCATTATTAATACTCTCACACATTTCTAAATGTCCCTCCCAAAAAGCCACTGACCTGGGTGATTGCAGTATTCCCCTAATTAGTCTCTTGGCTTCCCTCCCATTCAAATTTTATATGCTAATACCAAATTTTTCTGAGGCATAGCACAGTGCCATTCCTTTTTGCCAAAGCTAATCTAAACTTTTAAGCAACTCTTCTAAACATCTAATTTTTTGTTTCTATGCACACTCTTCATGGGCCTAGAATGCCTTTTTCTTCCATTTCATTAATTCACACAAGACTAAAATTTACCTATCCTAGCCAACTTCTTCGTGAATAGCCTCCAGAAATGTCCTCCTTTCCTATACCACCAAGCATTTTATCTGTCCTGTCCCTCTCCTTTGGCTCCTACATTTCACTTATTTACATACCTGTCTTCTCTTCTACTTTGTTCCTCAAAGGCAAAGTCTTTTGGCTTCATTCCTGGTTCCCTCAGTATCTAGCACAGTGCCTGCACATAGTAGACATTCAGCAAATCTGTTGAACAAATAAGTGTTGCCACATTTAGTGTAGTATCCACATTTCATGTCCTTTGTGTTTACCAAATGAAGTAAATAGATTTCTTTAAAAAACCTGTATACTTTTGATGAAAATACATATCTTCTTTTCCTATAGCTTCTTGCATCTACCAGAAGAGATCAAGACAATATGCAAGCTGAGCTGAATCGCCTTCAAGCAGAAAATGATGCCTCTAAAGAAGAAGTAAAAGAAGTTTTACAGGCCTTAGAGGAACTTGCTGTCAATTACGATCAGAAGTCTCAGGAAGTTGAAGACAAAACTAAGGAATATGAATTGCTTAGTGATGAACTAAATCAGAAATCGGTAGATATAGTTTTGCTTTCTTACTTCTTTAGTACAGATATTCTTAATTGAAAATTACTTTAACTTATTTCTATGTAAGATCAGGATTAATAGCATTAATTCTCAAGGGACTCTGGTCTCAACTTCAATTCCTCCTATATATGAAGTCTTAGAGGTAGAGGAAGAGAGTTATCTTTTTAGTTCCTAAAGGTCTATTTATATGTAATTTAAATGGTATTTTAAAATATGTTGGCTATTCCTAATGTTAAAGGGGAAAAAAAATTAAAAGTTAACTTCTGGTTGCTCAGTAAAGCTATTAGGTGATTGTTAAAACTACAAATTAAGAAGTATGCACATAAAAATAAAGAAATTGCTTTTTAATCAGGTAAGCGAATTATTTGGAGTACTGTAGTTGTATGGATATATAACTTCATATAATTTATATTTTGTTCACTGTTACATTCCCACCACCTGGAACAGTGCCTGCCTTAGCACAGTGTAGTAGGATCTTCCTTGTAGTTCCCCAATAGATGGGGATTTTTACTTGTTATTATTGTTAGAGGACAACCTCCAATAGTGATGCCAATAATATTATAGCTGTGATTGTTTCAACATCACCATGGGTGACTTGTCTTCTTCTGGATTTGTTAATGCCAGCTTATTAGAAATCAGCATGTAGAGTTGCATTCAGGATCAGTGCCCACCACTTATTTCCCTGTCTGTATTCACTTGACTAAAGGAAAGCAATCAACACTTTTACATGGTTTCCTGGGCTGGCCAATTAGCTCAGTTGGGTAGAGCGTGGTGCAGATAACACCAGGGTCCAGGGTTCTATCCCTGTACTAACCAGCTGCCAAAAAAAAAAAAAGTTTCTTGCCCCTGATGATTTTAATTGTTCATTTTCCCTTTTTAATCTCCAAAGTTACAGTTAGCTTAAAGTTAAAATTTAATATACCATGGATCTCCAAGGTGCCATTATATTTCTTACTGAGTTGCATTATTAGCAAACCTAATTGCTGTTCAGAATAATAGGAGTTTCTTAAAACTCTATAAGTTGTTTCTTGGTCTTTGATTTCAGTCTTTAAGATTGTATTTGTGTTCCAGTTGTGGAACTTATATCTATCAGCACTAGTAATAAGAATTAGAAACCCCTAGTGCTTAGTGTCTTTTTATATACTTAAACAGTATTGCTGTTCAGTTAGAGAAAATGTCTGGTAATTTAAACATTTATGGTAGAAGCATGCTACATTGAGGCTTGCAAGATAACCGAGATCATATTGAAGATTAAACTGGATGAACATACACTCTTCTGATATTTAGAAACTTAATTAAATGACCAGTCACCAGAAGAAACAAGCAGTTGAAATGATGGCATCTTTAGTAAAAGATGTTGACTATAAATCATAAGTAGCACTGAAATGCAATATCTGATCTGTGATTAATGAATAGTTTTAAAGTGGGCCAAAGCTGGCTGGTTAGCTCAGTTGGTTAGAGTGTGGTGCTGGTAACACCAAGGTCTGGGGGACTGATCCCTCTACCAGCCAGCAGAAATAAAAAGTAAAGTAATAAGTGGGCCAGATTGGGTTGGACTTTTCAAAATTTGGTGACTTTGTAGCTGGTAAACTAGCTATTATTTTAAACTTATAAATATTATAATTAAACTCAGAATATTAATCACTAGTTCTTTCATAATTGCTTATATTAAAAGTAGTAATAATTATCATCAAGTGGATCTAGAAAACTGTTAGTTCCTTTCTCACATTAATTTGCTCAGAGTCAATTTCCAAAGTTAGGCTATAATATAGTAATAAATGATAATCAAATCTAGTTAATTTTGAAGTTTCCCATTTCTAGGCAGAAAACATTATCCAATCTCAAAAACTTAATGAAATAATACAAACTACCTGCTTTTTGATGGAAGTTTGAGCTGGAAGCTAACCCAGAACTTAGTAGATAGTTCAAGAAAATGGAAGCAGAAAATACATGTTTTTGTAAGAGCTGGGTGGAAAACTTGAAATACCTGTGAATATTGAGTTGAGTTTCCCTTTAATAGATTTAACTGTACTTTCTGCTTTTGGTTCTATTAGGCAACTTTAGCAAGTATAGATGCTGAGCTTCAGAAACTGAAGGAGATGACCAACCACCAGAAAAAACGAGCAGCTGAGATGATGGCATCTTTACTAAAAGACCTTGCAGAAATAGGAATTGCTGTGGGAAATAATGATGTAAAGGTAAATACAGTAACTAAATATTAAGTATAGTTATCAGTTTACAACTTGTACTTTTTGTTTACAATTTTTTTACAAAGTTCTTTTCATACCCATTATCCTGTCCTCACAACAGCCATGTGTGATAGTTGGTATTAACTCCGTTTAAACAGATGAGGAAAGGGAGAGAATAAGGGACACCCAGATAGATATATTCAGTAAGTAGCATTTATTGGACCCCATGTTTAGTTCTTTTTTCTACAATGTAAAGATTTTACACTTAGAAAATTAGTTCAGGGAATAAATTCATAAATGAATTGGCCTGTGCTTGCTTTAAATGTTTAAATAAAGGTAAAAGATGAGCACTGCTTAATTTTCTTTCTTTCTTTTTTTTTTTTAATCTTAGTATGAAAAATTTCAAACATATAGTACTGTGGAGAATACTACAGTGAACTACAGAATTATCGGTTATCAAAATTTTGCCACACTTATTTTTTCTATGTCTTTTTTCTAATAATCTTTTTAAGGATGTGTCAGCATTAGGCACATGGCAAAAAATTTTAGTGACCTGGTAGATTTAAAAACTTAGACCAAAACAAACTTAACTGCAAAAACATGCATATAACATGAAAGATTTGTAAGTTGCAGTAGCTATTTGTTTGGACTTTACCAATTTTTGTTGTTGTTGCTGTTGTTTTGGTGGCTGGCTGGTACTGGATCTGAACTCATACTATGCTTTAACCAGTTTAGTTAACCAGTCAGCCCTGGACTTTACCTTTTTGATTAAAGCCTAATTACAGTAACAGAGAGAACAAACTTATATTTGGATTTATAGTTAGAGCCTTCTAAGGAGCCCAGTTTAACAAGAGTTGGAAATGAAATAAAAGTTTTCAATAGAGAGCACACATTCCTTCTATCCATTGTATTGTTTAAATTTCCATTTATTGATGGAGGCAAGGGTTCTGTGACCTTTCTCTTCTTATCATGTTATTCCTTTATGTTGATTCACCTCATTGAAGCAAAGGAAAAGTGTTCTTGCTAAATTATCAGACTTGACTTGCAGTCTTCACCATTATTCTGAACATTTCTGCTCTATCCTGTTTACAGTGAAGCAATGTGAATTGTAGAGTTAAGAGGGAATCATCTGGGATAGAAAAGTAGGTTTACTTCATATCACTGAACACTAGAAAGGTGGCGTTCAGATTTTGCTTTGTAGAGTCACAGCTTCTTTTTAGAAAAATCTTCCATTTCAAGTTCAAATAATCTATTTAAGTGGAAAGGTGGTAAAGATACAAAATAGAGTGGAAATGGCTTAATGTTTAGAATACAAGTTCCCTGACTCCTAGACTGTTTTTTTCACTATACTATTATAGCATTTTGAAAGTAATGAGCCTTGCAAATAGGTACTTGAAAACTGAGTATGTTTGTCATTTATACGTAATTCTTTTCCTGTTATTATGAGCTTCACTTTAAAAACACGAAGAATCCTCAGTATTTTCATCATTTACACACAATTCTTTTTCTGTTATCATTATTGGCTTCACCCTTTTTTTTTTTTTTAAACATTAGGGTTCACTCTTTGTGTTTTCCAGTTGTCTGGATTTTAACAAATGCATAATATTATAAACCCACCATTACAGTATCGTATAGAATAGTCTTACCATACTAACAAATCCTTTGTACTTTACCTATTCATCTCTACCCCCGGAACCCCTGGAAACTGCTGATGTTTTTACTATCTCTATAAGTTTTGCCATTTCCAAAATGTTATATATTTGGAATCATATGCCGTTTCACACTGCTTCTTTCACTTAATTAACAATATGCATTTAAAGTTCTGCAATGTCTTTTCGTGGCTTGAAAGCTCATTTTCACCATTCACCTACTTTGTTATTTCCGGGTTTTGGCGATTATGAATAATGCTGCTCTAACGTGCAAATTTTTCTGTGGACATAAGTTTTCAATTCAGTTGGGTAAAAATACCTAGAAGTGTAATTGCTAGGTTTTATGTTAAGACTGTGTTAGCTTTGTGAGAAACTCACAAGCTATCTCTGAAAGTGACTGTACCGTTTTGCATTCTTACCAGCAGTGAATTAGAGTTCTGTTGCTCCACATCCTCATCCACATTTGGTATCGTTAGTCTTTTGGATTTTAGCCATTCTACTAATGTGTAGTGTTATCTCACGTTTTAATTTGCAATTGGGTTGTTTTCTTATTGTTGAGTTTTAAGAGTTCTTTGTATATTTTGGATGCAGCTCCTTTATCAGATAGTTTTTTGCAATATTTCTTTCCATTTTCTTAACAGTGTCTTTTGTTTGTTTGTTTTTTTGTTTTGTTTTGGAGGCTGGCCAGTGTGGAGATCCATACACTTGACCTTGGTGTTACAAGGCTGTACTCTAACCAGCTGAGCTAACCAGCCAGCCCTTAACAGTGTCCTTTGTAAAACAGAAGCTTTTAATTTTAACGAAGTCCAACTTATGAATTTTTTCTTTAATGGATTGTGTTTTGTTATTGTATTTAAAAATTCATCACCGGTAGAGTGCGGCGCTTGGGAGTGCGGTGGCGCTCCCGCCGAGGGTTCGGATCCCGTATAGAGACCGGTCCGCTCACTGGCTGAGCGCGGTGCGGGCGCGACACCAAGGGTTGCGATCCCGTTACTGGTCATGAAAAAAGACAAAAAGGAAAAAAAAAAATAACAATCTGATACAGAAAGGTGGCCCTGCCCAATAACCCAGCTATAGAACCCAAGGTGAGAATTTTGGGGCCGGCCCGTGGCTCACTCAGTAGAGTGCAGTGCTGATAACACCAAGGCCCCGGTTCGGATCCCATGTAGGGATGGCCGGTTTGCTCACTGGCTGAGCGTGGTGCTGACAACACCAAGTCAAGGGTTAAGATCCCCTTACCGGTCATCTTTAAAAAAAAAAAAAAAAAAAAAAAAAATCACCAAAGCCAAGGTCAACTAGATTTCCTATGTTATCTTCTAAAAGTTTTTAGTTTGCATTTACATTAGGTCTGTGATCCATTTGGAATTAATATTTCTGAAAAGTGTAAGATCTATGTTAAAATTCATTGTTGTGCATGTGGACGTCCAGTTGTTACAGCATTATTTGTTGAAAAGACTATCCTTTCTCCATAGAATTGCCTTTGCCCCTTTGTCAGAGATCAATTGACTCCATTTATGTGGTGTCTTCCTGGGTTCTCAAGAATAGAATATTCCATTGACCTATTTGTCTATTATTTTGCCAATGCTATACTATCTTGATTATTGTAGTTTTATAGTAAGTCTTAAAGTTGTGTAGGGTCAGTCCTCCAACTTTGTTGTTCTTAAGTATTGTGTTGGCTATTCATTGTCTTTAGATTCTTCGTATAAACTTTAGAATCAGTCTGTTGATGTTTGCAAAATAGCTTGCTGTAATTTTACATTCTTTCATCAGTGTTTTGGAGTCTCCTCTTATAGATCTTGTACATCCCATGTTAGATTTATACCTGAGTCTCTTTCCTTCCTCCTTCTCTCCCTAACTTCCTTTTTGTGTTAATATAAGTAACACTGTGTTTTTAATTTCAGATTACAATTGTTCATTGTTGGTATATAGGAAGTGATTGACTTTTGTTTATTAACCTTGTATCCTACACCCTTACTATAATGGCTTGTTATTTCCAGGAAGTTTTTTCTTTTTTTAAGCAATTACATCATTTGCAAACACAAAGTTTTGGTTTTTTTCCTCAAGCTCCACTAATTTTTACACTAAATATTATACAGGATTTTTCTAATGAAACCCATGAAAGTTAAATAATGTATAGTGACAACAGTTCCTCCTTGTTGAGCTTAAAAGTTATCCTTTCTCTGCCACCCAAACATCCTCTTGTTAAGTTTTAAATTGAATTTGCACATGATTAACTATGAATTTACTGAAGACATCCTGTGGAGAGGAAATCTGAAAATTGAAAGTGGCAGAATTCATCAGCTTGCTTTTGTTTTTTTTTTCAGTTTACATCTATTTTTTTCCCCCTGTAGGCATGTATTAACAATATTTTAAATTTTAAAAAGTAGAGAAGGAAAAAAGTAAGCTCTGTATACCCTTTATTGAAAACAGTAATAAAAGAAAAAATAAATTCCAGACTATGAATTGTAGAATGATACTAAAATATGTTTTATTTTGTTATAAGATTTTAAGGTCTAATTGAACCAAACATCTGTGACTTTCATTTTTTATTTTACTTTTTTTCTCACAGCAACCTGAGGGAACAGGCATGATAGATGAAGAGTTCACTGTTGCAAGGCTCTACATTAGCAAAATGAAGTCAGAAGTAAAAACAATGGTGAAACGCTGCAAACAGTTAGAAAGCACACAAACTGAGAGCAACAAAAAAATGGAAGAAAATGAAAAGGAGTTAGCAGCATGCCAGCTTCGTATCTCTCAAGTATGTGCAACAGAATAGTTTCTTTGTTTATGAACAGCCACATATAAATTTTATTTCTTATAAAAGTTTCCAGAGTCATGAGCCTCTACAGGTTATTTTGAGTAACAAAAAGGTCCATTTAGTCAATTGCTTTTCCTAATCTAGCTACAGTATAGAAACGAATGACTTAACTGGGTTATATTTCACCAACATAGGAATTATACAAGGAGGGAAGGAGGGGTGAAGATGGAGATTACTATAAGAATATTATCTCAAAAAAATATTTTCTCATATTTCAGCCTTCAGTGGCTTAGTTTGTGAGTGATATAAACTATACAGACGACTATTTACTTTTTAAACATTTAAAATCTGGTCCCTGAACATTTGAAGTTTAAATATTTCAAGTTTATCATATATTTAGATATTGATGAAACTTACTTGCTTTTAAATTTTCTTAAAATGTGCGTGTGAGATATTTCTTCCACCTCAGTCATTATATTTTTTCCAAAAGCATGAAGCTAAAATCAAGTCACTGACTGAATACCTTCAAAATGTGGAGCAAAAGAAAAGACAGCTGGAGGAATCTGTTGATTCCCTCAGTGAAGAACTAGTCCAGCTTCGAGCACAAGGTATTAGCTTCCAATTATTTATGAGTTATATCTATATTAATTCTTTCTTACTTTAGTGTAATTGTAGTAAACCTAAATTCACACTGATAGAGAATAGTAGGAATATGGATAACTTGGAATTGTAAACAAATCATACATTTTAATGTGGCTTTGAGAGATATTTTTAAAAATTGTGTTTGAATGTGGAAATGGTCAATCTGGGAATTTCCCACAAAGTTCTGAAGTTTCGTGTGTGTGTGCATGTGTGTGTGTGTGTGCATGCATGTGTGTATAAATCTTAACATAAGGGACTTAGAAGCTATTTCATTTCCCAACCATGCCCTTAACCCATCTTTTCTGGGATTAGGCAAAGAAAATGAAAGAATCTATAATATCAGCACCACAGATATAACTTAAGTGTACTAGTCAACATGTCATTAAGGTTGGATATAACTAAATGTACGAGTCAACATGTCATTTACTTTGTGTCATTTCTGTAATTTAAAGTCGAATACTGCTAAGGAACATTCTTCTCATAAAACCCATTTGCTACTTGGTTTATATAAAGAACCTTATGACTTATTTTGCTGTTTTCTTTTCTCTCTACCCAAACAGAGAAAGTCCATGAAATGGAAAAGGAGCACTTAAATAAGGTTCAGACTGCAAATGAAGTTAAGGCAAGTTTAATGTTACATTGGATTCTACTGGCTTTAATCCATCATTATTAATTTTGATTAGTCTGATTGTAACATCTCCCTCCTCCCCGCAAAAAAATTTTTAGCAAGCTGTTGAACAACAGATCCAAAGCCACAGAGAAACTCATCAAAAACAGATCAGTAGTTTGAGAGATGAAGTTGAGGCAAAAGAAAAACTTATTACTGATCTTCAAGAGTAAGTATTATACTTTTCTGTTAGATATTAGAAACTTACTCAGAAAAATTGACTGTTTAGACAGGAGGAAATAATAGGTTACTGGCAGACACTATGTTCTTATTAGAAACCTGCAGTTTTCATTGGAAGTATAATTTTTGACTTAAAGAATTCTCTCCCTTATGAGTAAAACTCCTAAGTTTAAGGTCAAATTCTTGAGAAATTTTTTTAGGTTTCTTGACCTAAATATTGAGTAAAAAGAAAAAAAAAAAAAAAAAAAAAATTAAACTCATTATTGCAAATAGATATCACAGTCTCCTCCAAATCATTTATTTAGCTTCCTTTTTTGAAAAAATTCCTAACTGACCAAAAAGCTTTATTGGGAATTGTGGGGTTTTAAAGTGTGTTTTTTAGGCTGGCCAGTTAGCTCAGTTGGTTAGAGCGTGGTGTTCTAACATCAAAGTCAAGGGTTAGGATCCCTGTACTGGCCAGCTGCCAAAAAAAATGTCAAAGTGTGTTTTTTGGTTTTTTGTAAATAGAAGTTATCATCTTAGTTTATCTAGAAGTCATTTTCCTACTTCCATAACCATGTGCACATACATAGAATTTATACAAATTGGAACTCTTCCATGCTTTGAATAAGAATCAGAAGAAAGTAACCAAACAAAATAAAATGATGAAACTTGGAACATGGATCTTATTATTAATATCTAATGGAAGTTAGGGATAAAGATTATCATGATTTCAAACCAAAATATGAAAAATATTGTATGGTTGAAAGTAGCTTGGTCCCCTCACGTTCTCCCCCTATGGAGAGGGGTAGGATAACAGAGTATTTCGTATTGGCCTTGGGTATTTGAAAAATGAGATTATAGAATTTAAGAGTTTGAAAAATTTTAACGATTACATTCAGAAAACTATGATGTTGATATCGTGTTTTGTACTTTTGTCAGCCAAAACCAGAAAATGATGTTAGAGCAGGAACGTCTAAGAGTAGAACATGAGAAGTTGAAAGCTACAGATCAGGAAAAGAGCAGAAAACTACATGAGCTTACGTAAGTAATTGTTTTAATAATGTTTAGAAATAAAAATGAGGGTTAGCTGGTTAGCTCAGTTCTTTAAAGTGTGGTATAATAATTCCATGGTCAAGGGTTTGGATCTCCATACCACCCAGCTGCCAAAAAAATAAAAACTAAATTCAAGAATTACAGATTTTATCTTTGGATATTTCCAGTGGATACATTTTTCACTTTGTATGGGCTAAAGAGTATTGTTCTTAAAAGTTCGTTTGAGTTATATCTAAAACTTGCAGTATATGCTGGTACTTAAGTGAAAGCAAGGTCTTATATTTCAGTGGTGGTCTAGATTTAGATTCCTGTTTTTCAACCTGCTTGCTGTTTCTCTATTAACATATTACTTCAAGATCCACATTAAAATGAACCTATAACATAACATTAATTTAGAAGATTTCAGGATCTATCACAAAAACTGAATTTTTTTCAGATTTGATCTTGGGTAAAAATAGTACATTACAGATGGATGCTTTTCAAGTTATGATGGGGTTACATCCAAAAAAATCCATCATAAGTAAAAAATATCATAAAGTTGAAAAATCATAAATTGAACCATCGTAATTCCAGATGCTCCTCAACTAACAATGGAATTACGTCCCAATAAACCCATTGTAAAGTCTAACCATTGTAAGTCAGGAACCATCTGTAATGTTTTAGCCTTGCCTTTTTGAACAGAGGTTTTCAGTGTTTACTTTTTCTAATTTACTGAGTCAATACTCAGTTTTCTAGAATCTGAGCAGGTAGAAAACTTATGATTATAATTTTTCATATACCTTTAATTTATGAGAGACAAATTTGCAAATGAATTGTTATTAAGATGTTTGCACTGTGTCAGGACCACTTCAGAATTGATTTTTAAAGGTTCTGAATTGCAGCCATAATTTTATTTAAAATAATTCTAATGTAAAATACTTTAGTCTTTAACAATTTATGATCTCTGTGATTCCCAGTTAATCAGTATTATTTTGGATAAATAGCAGTATATACTATATTTTAAAATACAAATAAGACCCATTCTTTATTCTTTGAATTCTGCCACATTTTATTTCATCTCTTTCATTGCTACATGAGGAGGGTTTTTTCCTAATAAACTATAGATTTAGGAGATCATAAGGCATATAAAATTGTTTATGAAAGACACAACATGGGTAAACCTGTTTAAAAATAAGCATTTTTTATTTATTTGAATTTACAAATTGATCTTTTTAGATAAAAAATTTGATTCAACTCTTGTGCTAAGTAAAACTAGAATTTTATGGAATCAAAGTTGAAAACATATATGTATATTCTTCCACTGTTAGAGTTATGCAAGACAGACGAGAACAAGCAAGACAAGACTTGAAGGGTTTGGAAGAGACTGTGGTAAGAAAAACATGAAAATAAATAGGATTGGGGAGTATTTTGTGGGTTTTTTCTTCCCTGATTATCATAAATTGGAAGTCTGCATTCCAAAATATTGCTGTTCTTAATTCAAGGCAAAAGAACTTCAGACTTTACACAACCTGCGCAAGCTCTTTGTTCAGGACCTGGCTACCAGAGTTAAAAAGGTAATATAATGATACTGAGGTGGGTATTTGTATAATGGTGTTTACTGTGTGTAATTCTTTGTATTTGTGCTAGTGAAATAATTTTATATTGCCATGTCCATTTTTGTGTAAGTTAAGCGTAGATATTTTTTGATCTTTAAATTTTTTCAAAGTATTCATCCCCTTTCTTTTCTCAGAGTGCCGAAATTGATTCTGATGACACGGGAGGCAGTGCTGCTCAAAAGCAGAAAATCTCCTTTCTTGAAAATAATCTTGAACAACTCACTAAAGTACACAAACAGGTAATAAAGAGTATATTTTGTGGCAGCTGCAACATAAGAATCAAAAGTTGAGGAATGACAAGTATTTTAATCTTTCAAAGTCCTAAGGAATTTTCATACTTTGAGCTATTCAATTATTTTATCAAGCAATTATATAGTGAATTCACTAGTGACTTTTAGGGGAGTTAATATTTTTAACAACTCTTATCAAAAGAGGCTAATAGAAACATGTATTCTTATTTCCTCTGTTAGGTTTCTTAATTTATTCATGATCATTTTTAAATCTCTGGTAGACAAGTCTTTGCAGTTAAATTTGGTCTTTTCACAAGGGTAGTTCAAAAAGTTCATGGAAAAGTAGAATTGAAAGACAATATGAATCTTTCTGTGAACTTTGGAAGACCCCCTGTACATGTAATGTCTGTGTGTGAAAATATATACTATAATGAGGCAGTTTATATTTTTTTTAAAAAGTAATAACTTTTGGGCCGGCCCGGTGGTGCAATGCTACGGTGCGCCGCTTGGGAGCGCAGTGGAGCTCCCGCCGAGGGTTCGGATCCCACATACAGACCGGCTGCTCACTGGCTGAGCGAGGTGCGGGTGCAACACCGAGGGTTGCAATCCCGTTGCCGGTCCTGGTCCAGTACGGGCACGACACTGAGGGTTGCGATCCGTTGCTGGACATGAAAAAAAAAAAAAAGTAATAACTTTTTTTTGCTGATTTTTAAAAATTATGGCTTGATGAATGATTTAGGCTATTAACAGAAAAAGTTTCTTTCTTTTTTTTTTGTCTTTTGTCTTTTTCCGTGTCCGGCAACGGATCGCAACCCTCAGTGTTGCCCCCGTACCGGACCGGGGACCGGCAACGGGATTGCAACCCTCGGCGTTGCTCCCGCGCCTCGCTCAGCCAGTGAGTGGGAACCGGTCTGTATGTGGGATCCGAACCCTCGGGCGGGAGCGCCGCCGCGCTTCCCAAGCGGCACACTATCCAGTGCGCCACCGGGCCGGCCCCAGAAAAAGTTTCTTAATGTACTCAATTGTTGTATATCCTTGTTACTGTAAGTAGATGTTTGCGTCAGAGTTAGATTAAAGACATTATTTAAAGGGCTTCCTAAGTTTATGTTTATTTGTGCTCTTAATATGAGCACAAATAAACATAAAAAGATATGTTTTTCACCAGATTAGTTATTCATTTCACCAGATTAGTTATCTTGCTGAAGAGACTGAGCACTGTGCTGTAATTTATTGTCCTGCCTAGTAGAAGGAAAGAACAACCCCTCCCCCCAATTTAAATGAAATTATATCTTTATGAGAAATACATGTGTGTACAATATGTATGGATATATGTATTTCTTGCATGTTGCTGACTAAATTAAATTAGCTAAGTGGAAAACCTTAATATAAAATGTAGTTTTGCTTCTTTTCTAAAGAGCAGTTGTGAAATCCTCATACTTTCTTAAATCATCTTGTTAAAGCTAGAATCCTTGTTTTCTTTCTTTTAGTTGGTACGTGATAATGCAGATCTTCGCTGTGAACTTCCTAAGTTGGAAAAGCGACTTCGAGCTACAGCCGAGAGAGTAAAAGCTTTGGAGTCAGCCCTGAAAGAAGCCAAAGAAAATGCATCTCGTGATCGCAAACGCTATCAGCAAGAAGTAGATCGCATAAAGGAAGCAGTCAGGTCAAAGAATATGGCCAGAAGAGGGCATTCTGCACAGATTGGTTAGTAGAACACATTGAAACCTTTAAACCTTGCTCATTTTGAACGCTTTTATTTAGTTGAAAGCATAGTCTGAATTTTGTAATGTGTCATCCTGGTGGTATTTGTCTCTGTTTTATAATTTAACAAAGAGTATTGGGAAAGAAGAGAAAAATTGAGGAATAACCATATTAACAGGTCAAGAAGTTAAATATGAAATACAGGAACAAGCAAGAATGGTCAGGGTTAGAAAAAAACTATATAGAATGGTATTATTGAGGCAAAGAGAGAATTGCAAGATAATAGGTCATCAATTATTACATATTTCAGAATAATCATGTTCAGGAATAAGATTTTAAGAGGCTAACGATTGTAGAGGTCCTGGAGAAAAAGATATAACCAAAAAGAAAAAGATACATTTGGGAATTTGTTGTGAATAAAGAGAAGAGACCTAAACAGTCATTGCAGTCATGTGCTAAGTTTTATTCTAAAGTTAGTCTTTATTTTTTATATTAGCTAAACCTATTCGTCCCGGGCAACATCCAGCAGCTTCTCCAACTCATCCAAGTGCAATTCGTGGAGGAGGTGCATTTGTTCAGAACAGCCAGCCAGTAGCATTACGAGGTGGAGGAGGCAAACAAGTGTAAACACTTACACATACCCACAGGTTTGTAGTTTATATCTGGCTTTTGAGTCATTTGTGGAAATGTTTTGTTTTGTTTTGTTTTGGCTGCCAGCTGGTAAACATGTTCTGGGGTCTTTTTGATTCTCACTTTTTTGTAATGTATGGGATTATTAAGGTAACTTAGCGAAGGCCTACTTCCTGGTTAATAGAACAGCACTTTCTGCTGCATCCTAATGTGGCAGAAGAGGAGAACAATCTCCCTTGAGCCTTTTAAAATAAAAAAAGTAACTTATCATGATACTGTCTACTCAAATTTGTGTTCTTATTGTTTTTAAGCCTAACATTGGATCATTTGTAATAACTCTTGGTATTCTGTTTAATGGATACCATGGTGTATAACTATTACTTTTTACTGGACATTTAATTATGTTAATTTTTTTCATATTTGTATTTGAAATTTTCCAAAGTTGAAATTTCCACATATGAAATTTGAAGTGTGAAACCTTTTTATACTCCTTCAACTTTTAGATTATTTCCAGAAGATTCTCAGAAGTGGAATTACAAGAAGGTGTGAACATTTTTAAGGCTCTTGATATGTATTAACATACTGCTTTGTAGAAAGACCATACCAAATTCCATATTAGCCAAGGATACTGTGTATTTTGTTGCATTCTTGCCAGCATTGATTATTAATAGTTTTTAAGCTTCTAATTGAATAGCCCAAAAATAACATCTCATTGATTTATTAGTGAAGCTGGATTTTTTCTTTTTGTATATTTATTGGCTCATATTTTCTTTTTAAATGAGTTATCTATGTCCTTTTTCCATTTACTCATTGTGAATGATTTTTATTTATTTTTAATTTTACAAGTGCTATCTATTCCTTGTAGGGGGATAAAAAATACCACAAATTAGAAAATAAATATCCAGAGATACTACACAGTATATTGTGTATATCTTTTAGAGCTTTCTTTACATATTATAACTTTTAACTTAAAAGTTTAAACTGTTGTTAACTATTCTAATAACATACCACACCAGTTCTACTATATATGCTACTTAATCTCTTTTTTTAACTTAGCAATATATTGTGAACATTTTCTTTTACAACCTGATTGATTAGTTAATAGCTGCCTAATGTTTCATCATATGGCAGGAACTCCGATTTTAACTTTTTAGGAAGTCCCAGATGTGTAAGTGCTTTGGAAATTTAAAATATTAGGTAATTATGAGATAGCTAACTGTTTATTTCTGACAAATACTAAAGCCAGTTTATTTTAATCTTGTTTGTTTTTACTTTGACATTTTGCTTAACTCTGGTTCTAAATTTGAGTAGAGAATTTAAGCAGTATTCTGGAGGATTCATATTTCCAATAATTTAATATCGTATAATGTTTTGTCCACATAGTATATTGTATTTGAAGAGTGATAGTGTGAAAAGAGCATGTAATTAAAAATTAAATAATTATGTTTTAATAATGTTTTTTATTTTAAATCTAATGCACATTCAGATTTCTTTCTTTCTTCTTTTTTTTTTTTAATGTCCTGTACGGCTGATTTGTCTAAACCAGGATACAGTCTAGGACTACTGTTTGCATTTGGTTTTACCCTTAAGTCTCTTTTAATCTAGTATAACTCCCCTTTTTAAAAAGCACTAACTAACTGAAGAGACTAGGCCAGTTATCTTGAATGTATGCCACTTTCTGGATGTGTCTGATTGGTTACATGTGTAGTTGCTTTGTTCTCTGTCTCCTCTATTCTCTATTTTATACTGAAAAGTAGATCAAAAGCATTGTTGATTAGATTCAGCATAAGCATTTTTTGACAAGACTGTGTTGTAGGTAATACATGCCTGATATTGTTTCACATCAGTAAACATGTAAGAGCTAGTTTTCCTGCCAGTGAGATATGGCCTCTGCATTTTTCCACTTTGGACTAATAACTTTTTTGAGCCCCTTTTGTTAGTAAAATGCAAGTTCTTGAGAATTACGTGAGTTAAGATGTCATTACCTAGCCTGGAGTATTCAGTAGATGCAAGCTGCCTTTTCCTACCTTTCTGGAAGTGGGAGCTGGGCAAAGGGATTTTCAAAGCATGGATATAGATAAAAGTTTATCCTGTTTGGATATTGTTCTCATGTTAAAATTCATATGTAAACTTAGAAGTCATATCTCAGTTGCAGAGAGGATAGACCATGACCTTTATTAAATATAGCAGATCCCAGTATAATGACAGCAGTTTTTAGCACAGGAGATAGCTAACCCAGCTACACTAGGTTTTCAAGAATTGAAGATTATAATGTAAAAGTATTATAAATACTTTGTAATATAATATAAAAATATAAAAGGTTTGTTTCATTGATGGCCCAAAAGACAGCAGTTCTTATTTTTTAAACTCTTGCATCAGTCTTAAACCATGATTGAGGAGTATATGATCTACTTAAAAGATAAATTGTTGAAAAGTTAAATACTTTGCAGAGAACTTTTAAAATTATTTCTGAAATGTTAAAACATAAAAAATAAAACATTCCAAAACACTGGGTTTGTTTTTGGGGAGGGTGACAGTGTATTAATACTGATACCATTAGTTCCCAGTTTCACATGACTGGTCTTCTGGCTTGCATAGTACTTTGAACAGGTTGAGTATTTTTTAAGTGCATAGGTAAGTAGGCAGTCTAATACAAGGATGGCTCTAGGTAACAACTGGGATTGTTTATTTCATTTTCACTTTTCCTTCCATATACACTTCTTATTTATTCCTATCCTTCTACTTCTCTCCACCACCCCCTTCTTTTTTTTTTTTACAGCTACCATGTATATAACTACTAGTTGCTATTTCATGGTTCTTGGTTTAAGAATGTCAGTAACCACTGTCTCCTGGTTAAAAGATTCATCTTTTTCTTTTAAAACAAATACAATTCAAATATCAGCTCACCCATAGCTTTACTGGGGAGAATAAAAACAAATGAAGGGCTGAGCTTTTAAACATTGTGCTACTGCTCATAAACAATTCTACTTAAAAGGTAGATAAAAGAAGAAGAAATCAAATCATTTAATATTGCCATATTTTTAATTTTGGGAAAAGTGGTCAAAGCTACTGACTAGAATGCTTATAAACTATTGGTGTATTTTATTTCCTTCTTTTTAATCTCTATTACTATCTCAAACACGTGTTTTTATAAAACTGAAAATATTTTCTCCTTATGCTTTCTCCTATTTTCAGGTGTTGAAAAGTAATCGAAGTATGAAGAGGACATAGTATCAGTCAATCAGTGACTATAACCTGTACCCCCTTGGGACTGTAGAATTATAACTTTTTTTTTATGTATAAATTATACCCAGCCTGTACAGCTGTTTCCTACCCACTCTTCTTGTAAACTCTGCTGCTTCCCACACAACTAGAGTGCAATTTTGGCATCATAGGAGGGAAAAGTGACAGTTTACTACAACTGTGGCCCTATTTATTACACAGTTTGTCTTTCATGTCTTAAATTTAGTCTTCACTGTGCCAAGCTGACTGTACCTTATAGGACTGTGCTTTTTGTATTTGTTTTTTTGTGTATGTTTATTTTTTAATCTCAGTTTAAATTTCCTAGCTTCTCCCACTTCTTGTTTTTCTTTTCCTATTAAAATGTCTTCCTTTTTTTAGGGAAAATGGAACATTTATGTTAAATGTCTTAAAATTTACCACTTACAACACTACATGCCCACAAAATATATCAGGTCAGTACTGTATTTTAAAAATCCCTTGAAATGATATCAGGGTTAAAATTATTTCTATCATTTCTGAAGTTTGCTTCTGAAAACTACCATTTGAGCACTGCAACCTTACAACTGCCTAACTAGGCATTTGAGACTAAGCAACTCTACTTAATTCTTATCTCATGAAATGCCTGTTGCCATGTTACTTTGAATAGAACTATTTTTACACTATGAAAAGCAAATCTCAGTGTAAGAGAGAGTTTGGAAAAAGAATTGTATTCTTTTCTTCCTGATTCTACACAGTTGGATGGAATGAAAATGCCCTGCTTCATTCTGATGACCCTGCTAGCTAATAAAAGAATTGGACAGATAATGATTTCTCATTTTTCTAGAGCAAAATGAAAAGATACTAAAGGATCAAACATAATTTTATACTGCTAGTATTTTATTGGCTTATCTAAATTTAATAGACTATGGGGCCGGCCCGGTGGCGCACTGCTACAGTGCGCCGCTTGGGAGCATGGTGGCGCTCCCGCTGAGGGTTCGGATCCCACATACAGACCGGTTCCCGCTCACTGGCTGAGCGAGGTGCGAACGCAACACCGAGGGTTGCGATCACCGTTGCCGGTCCCGGTCCGGTACGGGCGCGACACTGAGGGTTGCGATCCGTTGCCAGACACGAAAAAAGACAAAAAGGAAAAAATCAAAACAAAAAAATAAATTTAATAGACTATGGAAATTGAGGAAAAATGTGAAGAAACAGGACAGCTATAAGGTGAATTTTAAAATATGTAGGTAAATTTTGGTCTGAAATTCCTGAGGTGTTTTTAACCTGCTTCTCTAAATCATACACTATAATTTATTTCTTGTTTAGTCTAGAAATAGTAAATTGTTTGAAAGTCACTAATAATCGTCAAATAAATTATTTTGTTGGCCATAGCCCATAATTTTATAATTAGTACTAAATGTGTACCTATTTTTTGCCACTTCTTCCTCAAATGATTAAACTTAACAGTTTATTTTAGTAAATTAAAGTAATAGGGAAAGAGATTTCAATATTTGCTTCATCAGTGCTGGGTGGGTGACTGTAAAACTGCGTTAACAGAAATTCACAGAATGGGGATTTAAGGTTATTCAGTCAGAGAAACTTGGAAAGTTCTTTGTTAGGATCTGGCTGGCAGAATTAACATTTTGAACAAGTTTTATATGCAGATATTTGTATTATTAAATTTGGAGTCATAGTCAGAAGACTCATCATAATTGGCTTATTTTTCTATTTCCTTAACTCTTGTAATTTCCACTTTTATAATAATTTTGTTTTAAAAGATAAATTTATTTATTTTTTTTTTTAACACTCAAAAATCCTTGCTGTTGTAGTCTGCAACCTTACAAAATTATTATGTTGCTTTTAGGATTGATCAAAGGAACACTCCAAAAATTGAGATGAAACCTTGGTGCAGCAAGGTATAAGTAATACAGTTAACAAAAAAAGTACTACAGCCTCTTTATGATGATAGTTTTCTAAATGGAGAAACATTTGGCTGCATTCACATAGACATGTTTTGTTTTCAAAAGAAAACTTGCTTTTTGGCAATATTCATACATGAAGCAGGATTTTTTTCTCTTTTGTCTGAATATGTTAGTTTAATTCTTGTAAGATATATCATGGGTATTGGTGCTGTGTAACGAACAATGAATTGTAACTAGTGTGTGGTTCAGAATACACAATGTTAGGTTTTAAAAAAATATCTTAATGGTTCTTTTCTATTTATAATTTCAAACTTTCATAAAGTTTACTAAGAATTTCATAAATTTTTTTCAGTAAACTGCTCTTTCTGCTCTTGTAGGTCACTAAACACAGCATTTACTCCTATAAGTGAAAATTTCTGATCATCTAGAATATGGACACTTATTTCAATTTGCCGTGTTTTTTTTTTTTTTTTCTTTTTTGACTGGATATATTAATGTTCCTCTGAATGATATTGATAAATGGTTCAGAAGAGAAACTCAATGAAATAAAAGAGTAATATTTATTCATCATGATCAATTAAATTATTTGCCTAACTTAAGAAAACTAACTACTGTGCATAACTCAATTTGCACATAACTCTCAATTTGACATGAGGTTGACATGAGGTGACAGAGGAGAGTCTGAGTCTACCTGTGGAATATGTTCATTTGTTTTCAGTGTTTGAAGATACATTCAAAGATAATTGGTTTGGGAAGACGCCATATAATTTTAAGTTAACCTGCATGCTGTAAATGTGTTTTATGTTTAAATAAAGAGGAAACATTTTTTGAAATGTCATGACTTTCTTAAATCTTACTCGATGACTGTTAAGTTGATTTTTTATGACTGAGTGGCCTTTTCAGAGTTGTTACTGATATGTCATTATATTCCTATTTGTTTTGTTTCCTAATGTGTTGCCACCTTTTGGCCAGCAGGCCAAATAATTAAGAGCTAGAAGTGAATTATGAGTCTCATCTATGTTATTTTACTTTAGTATAGTTTACATTGTTCATCTGAGTCTGATTGTTTTATTAACCAGTAGAAGACTAGTGGTAGTATTTGTTTTTCAAATACTTCCTCAATGGTCATTCAGGTCTAGATGAAAAAAAAGACTGCTCCTCAATTCAAGTGGTGATTGGTTTTCTTTTAGGGTTTTGGGGTTTTTTTTGTTTATATCTTTTTTAATTATTGTGGAAATTTTTACTTATATATAAAGGCAGACAGAATAAATAATGAAGCCCCATGTACCAGTACTCAGTTTCAACAATTATCAACTCATGGCTATTCTTACTTCATCCATAACCCCACTCGTGCCTCCACTCCATATTATTTTGAAGCAATCTCAGATGATATGTGCTTTCTTCATAAATATTTCAGTATGTATTTTTAAAAGATAAGGACTCCTTAAAACACACAATAAATACCATTATCACTCAAAAAATTAGTAATCTCCAAATATATAAAAGTTTGTAGTTTTTGTAAACAATTTGGATCAAGATCCACTTAAAGTCCATATATTGCAGAGTTCCCTTCTATTTCTTTCTCATTTTTTCTCTTGCAATTAATTTATGACAAAAATAGCTTACTTGCCCTGTCGAGTTTCCCAGAGTTTACTGATTGCATCCCTTTGATATCATTTAACATATTCTTCTGTTCTTTGTATTTCCTGTAAATTTGTTTTGGATCTACAGACTTAATCAGATTCAGATATTTATTTTGTTTTGCTGGGGACAGTATTACCTCATAGGTGATGGTATTCCTCCATTAGATGGTACACAATGCCTAGTTGGGTCTTATTGGTTTATCACCATTGATAATCAATGCCTAGGTCCATCGACTTAACAGGGGTTACAGAATGGCAATATTCTGTCATTCCTTCAATAGAAGAATCTTTAGTTATCTGGTGGTGTAGTTTATATAGGAAAGACAGGATGAATGCTTGACTCATACCCTTTATTGCAAGTTTCAAAATAATGAGTTGTTGCACTACCATCTTCCAGTGGTGACCAGTTTGTTGTGCATTTTCCCTTTGTTTTTTAAATTATTTGATTACTATCTCTTAAGTGTGCTCTATGAGCCTTCAGTTCATTTTTTCCTTTCCTTGAGGGTTTGAAATGGAAACAGAAAGAGGGTTTTTCCCAAACTAGAAAGGGGGAAAAAATCACAGCTAACCTAAAGAATGGGAAGAAAAGGGAAATAATGGAGTTTATCAAGTGAAGAAACTAGTGAGAATTTATATACTCACAGGCAAGCAAAGTAGGATGGTGATGAATATTAATACATTATCGTAACTGTTATGGCCAGAGAATTTGATCATTTTTTGTTAACCAGGTGACTGTGCAATTGAGGATTCTTCTAGGGGTTCAACCACTTTTGAGGCAATGATCACAAATAATGAAAAATCCAAGTCATTAGATTCATCAGAATCGTGTACTGTCTAGTTCTCTATCTAGCTGTAGAATTCTACAACTGCAGCCAAGAGAATTTTACGTCATTTTTTGGGCAAGGACCAGGCAGTAAGTTTCTTTACATTGGTTAAGGAGATAATTATACTTTTTTATTCAAATATAATTGGTTAGTAAGAAATTTATATAAAGAAATGGTCACTGGTAGGATTGAATTTGACTCTAGCTGGGTGTCCTGGCAATAAAGGTATCCCTTTGGGACCAGGATCTCTAACCCCCTAGACTCCAAGTTGTAAGGCAGGGAAGCACAGAGTCCCTCAGTGGTCACTGGAAAGGATGATAAATTGGGTCATTTGTGCTCCCACCCCTTGGTTCTAGACCCATATATTCTTACTAGGGACTAAGAACCGAAAAATGTACTTTGGTTAGATACATACTGTGTCCTGGAGGATAGCACCTCATCCTTGTAGGTTTCTGACTCTAAAATGGCCCTTCAGTTATACCATTAAGAAACTATTCTAACACTATGAGGCCAGTAGCTTCTGGATGGTGAGGTATGTGATTTGATCAATGAATTCCTTAATAATGGGCCCACTTCCATATCTCCTTTCTATAAAGTGAGTCTCCTGGTCTGACAATGTTATTTGGGATCCCATGTTGGTAGATTAAACACTCCATAAACTCTCAGTAGTGCTGCTTGAGGTCCCACAGGCAGGAAAGGCAAACTCACACTCTTCTGTTAGAATAAATCTTTGGCCCTTCCAAGATAGAAGGCCCAATGTAGTCAGCTTACTACCAATTTACTAGTTGATTTTTTCGAGGGGAGATTGAGCTTAACACTGATGGCAGGAAGGACATTTGGCAGCAGCAGTAGGAATAGGATCAGCCTTGGTAAGTGGAAACCATTGTTGCTGGACCATGCATGGATTTTATCTCCCCCACTGTGGCCCCTCCATTCATGTGTCCATTGTACCATCATGGCAGGGGTGGATGACTGGCTGGCTGATGTCAGCCACCGGTTAAATTCTATTTGGTTAAATTCCTTTCCCGTAGTGGATAACTGTCTGGTAGGTATTAACGTGTGGTACACAGTTCTTCACATCCTGTGCGCACATCCACATGCTTTCACCCCAGACGTTCTTGTCCCTAGTATTCATTTTCCTTCCGTGCTACTGACCAGCCAGGCCATTTGCCACTCCCTGTGGATACACACAGATATGTACATAATACACGTGCGTGTGTATAAAATATTTGTTTATGTATATTTTTCTTAACCTTACAGGCAAGGTTAGTGGATGGCCAGGTGCATTACCTGAAGTCTGTACAAGAATCATTTTCCCTTGCCACTGTTTTTTTTTTTTTTTTCTTCTTTTTAAGTGTATTCCTTCTCTTAATGCTGTTCCTTTATGTAGATCCAAGTTTCTGACCTATATCATTTCCTTCTCTCTGAAGAACTTA